GGGGCGCAGATTTCCTCATCGTTTTTTCCTGAAATGCGATGGTTTCAACATTTTTTTTAAAGTTTTTAAATATTTTTTTTAGGGTGGAAAATACCATTTTAAAACCAATTTTAGAACCCAAAAACGGAATAATTAACTGCCAAAAATTTTGGGTTCTAAGACAACCCTTGTAGATTCCATTTTAGAACCCAAAATGGTCCCTCAGGGGGTTTGAAGCTGCAGCATGACCACCAAGCGTGATCCAATTCCGCTTGTTGGGGAAAAACTTGTTGAATTTCTTCTGCATGCTCCTTTAAACTCTCTGGCCACATATGGGGTTCGTGTGATCCATCGCCCATTTCTCACACGCGAGTCATGGACCAACCTTGTTGTTAAAAGAGTGCCATCTTGAATTTCTTCAGCATTCGGGTTTCTCAAACTCCCATGTCCAAAAGACGTTGGATCTCCACACACCTCGCCTCAATGTCAAATTTTTCCCGTTTCCAGCATAGTGCGGGACGAAGAGACGGCTTGAGTTCGGACTGGATTCTGGGTTCAACCTTGGAAATTTGGGAAGCGTTCCTCCAACAGGAACATCATCTTGTTGGGAAACTAATCCTTCACCATCACCTCGAGTGCCATTGTTCTCAACCAACCTTCACGTTCATCAAACCGTGCCATTTTCCTGGGCATGAAACTTTGTTCTGTCGTCTCACGCTGTGCACCTGAAGCTTCACTAATTTCAGCATCTTCCAGATCTGAATTTGGATGGTTCTTGGTATACTCTTGGAATATCATAGGCGTCATAGCCGATGACGTCGTCACCAGCTCCTGATTGCACATCAACCACAGGCCTTGGTGCCCATGGGCATAGCATTTCTTCGAACTGCAGCAAAGTTTTACGGACTTTCCCAAAGTGGCTCAAGGGAAACCTTATGGACTAGACTCAGCCAACGTGTCCAAACTCTGGAAAACCAACATGTCAAGACTCCAATCGTATTTACCGAGAAGAAGTTCAAGTGAAGTCCAGAAGGTGTTTGCGAGACAGGGCCATGCGTCGCACTTCAGAACCATGGAGTGGAGTGTCGTTTTTCTTGGTCAAGGAAAAAACTTTACCAACCTTTTGGACGCCGAGCTCTCTTGAAGAATTTGTGCTTTGGCAGCTTCTTCGCAATGGCGCTGCCACCTGTCCGCGCATCTCGATTTTCAAACGTCCACTGGAAATTGTCAATGTTGCCAAACAAACCACGTCCAGCATCCATCTGGGTTAGCTCCTCAGGTTTGAGACCTTCTTGCATCTTCTTGCATTTCCATGGGCACCTGAGGTTCTGCTGCAAATCACGAAAGCTAGCTGTGCTAGTTGAAGTTGCTCTTGCTATAGCAAGGAATAGGCAGGCACCAGGACCATTGGAAACCTTGAAACTTTCCAGCTAGACCCCCCGCTCTGGCAGGCCCAGGTTCGATCCCCCCCCGGGTCCCCTGAGCCCGCGCGGAGAGGAGATTTCCGGCTGGTACAGGGTCATCATCCTCATTTTCATCTTCATCCTCACCCTCCTCATCCTCATCCTCATCCTCGTCATCATCATCATCATCATCATCGTCATCATCATCATCATCATCAGCAACAACATCCTCATCATCATCCTCATCCTCATCCTCATCCTCATCCTCATCCTCCTCATCATCTTCCTCCTCCTCCTCATTGTCATCATCATCATCATCATCATTATCATCATCATCATCACAATCCCCATCATTCGCAGCATTCACATCATCATCATCATCATCATCATCATCATCATCATCATCATCCTTATCATCATCTTTACCATCATCATACATATGTTGCATTGTCTCGAACATCTTTATGCAGATTCGGGCTTCCATTATTTGGGGGGTGTTTTTTTTTGATATTGCGTTTCCTTGGCTTACAACACTTGGCGAGAGACGATTACTGCATTGGGGGGTTTTCGCTTGCTGGACATAGATTTTGCAACCCTACAGCAGCCCTGCTCATCATAATCACCATCCTCATTTTCATCTTCATTCTCATCTTCAGCATCCTCATCATCCTCATCATCCCCATCGTTCTCATCATCTTCATCATCCTCATCATCCTCTTCGTCCTCTTCGTCCTCATCATCGTCGTCATCAACTCGTTCCTGTTACCATCACTTTCGTCATCATCAGTTTCAGAAACCTCATCAGTTTCAGCAACCTCATCAACATCAAAAGATTGGCACTGTTTGTGCCTTGCAGCGACTCCAAAAAACCGCGTCAGACCGTTGCCGCGTTCCGACTTCACCTTGCTAATCCCCTTACGATTACCACCCTACCCCAGCCCTGCTAGCCTTCGTACCTCCCCCTGGCCTCAAGGGGAAAGTATTCTCATACTGATCTGTGAACTACCTGCTTGAACTGAGTCTCCAACCACTGAACCAAAATTTGAAACAGGTGCATCAGTCATGTGCAGCATCGTCATCACAAACGCTGGTACGCTTTGACATTCTTCAATCTGGCCTGTGTAGGTTTGTGAAGTAGGGAACGCAATGCTCGATCACATCCCATTTGAAGCCCGCACGTGTTGAAGCACAATGGGACTTCACATCCCTTGTCTGGAGCTGCCAAATTGATACCAGCTTCACCATTGGAAGGGGTCACGGTCAATGCCCAGCCTTTGTGTAGAAGACGCCCAAGGCTGGTCAAGGGTAACGGCACTGATGCCACCACGAAGTCATCCTCAATGACCACAAGGTCTGACCCATTCCCTTCACATTCAAGTTGTGCTGAGCGCTTTCAAAACGTTTAAAACCTGGTTCCTTGAGCATCTTAAACCGTCTTTCCAAGACGTTCGCCAACACCTTTTTCACGCATTGATTTTGCCAAAAGGCTAATGTCAGCTCCACTGTCCAAAACGATGAGCTGGGGGTCCGTCATTGGCACAGCTCGAACATGGTACCGATCCATGACTTCATCCTTGCTGACATGCAACCTGTCAAACTGATGGTTGCAATCACCATAAAATTGGTGTAGTGCAGCAACGCTGCACTGGTTGTAGGGCTCGTCAACTTCACCATTGTCCATTGAAAACCATTCTGTTTCCACAGGCTTGACTTTGCATTGCATGTAGAGAACCATTCTTCTGCACCATCAACGCTCTCAATCTCAAAACGCTCTGGTGTCGTGATTGGAGGAGTGGCCGCGTTTTAGAGCTTCACCCTCCTGAAATTGCCTGGTCAAATTGCTGTAGTCTGTGGAGACATTGTTGAACCTGAACCAACACTGGTCCTTCTTGATGTGGCTCCACCCACACTGGTAGTTTCAGCTGAGGCTGCTGAATTATGGTTCACAGTGACTTGGTTGACACCATTTCGAGTTGGGCATTCATTGCCCCAATATCCAACTTGCCCACATAGTCTGCACGTGCTATTGCTCGTGTTGTACGCCTCGCACGAAATGCGTGTTTGTTGCGGCAACGAGCTGTGTTGATTTTTCTCGTACTTGGCGCCTTTCATTTTCCGTTTAAAATTACGTTTAAAGACATCAAAATCATACTTTTCTTGGCTGTGGCGCCGAGATCGGTATTTGAGCAGGTTTTGGACAGAAGAACTGTTTGCAAATCGCATTGGAATGGCTGCATCGCTATTGCTCTGCGTTGCTGTTGCGCGCGTAGTTCTATATGTACTGGTATGAGTTCAGATGAAATGAGACGAGACAGACTGTGACGGGAGGTGTCACAAGACTGAGATGTCAAGAGGTTGTTGCTGCAAAGTACACTGGGCCTGCCCACACCCTATAGGCACTTTTTTTAATGCTCTATTGGCTATAAACCTTATTATTGAAAATTTCGGCCCAGGCTTGCCCGGGTACTACTTGTGAAAAAACTAGATTTTTTAATCGCTATCATTCAAACTGATGCTGCGTCATGCTTGCACATGAAATGAAGAATTTGGGATGGAAATGGAAAAAATCTAAGTGCAATAAAAACTGTCCATTGTGGATCATGCAAACCTTATTTTGGGGGTATGGGCATGTGTTTGACCGTCCTACATTAATTTCTTTGGTCGCGTCAGTATTCTGGTCGCTTCGCGACGATAATCGCCCGCACCGGAGTGTTAGCTCCGGCGTTCCAATAAAAACAATGTATGTTCTGTTCTATGTTGGGCCGTTGTAGGGCTGAGGTTGGGAGTATGTTGAGCCTATGTTGGCTCTATATTGGGCCTATGTTGTGCCCATGTTGGGCCTATGTTGAGCTCATTTTGGGTCTTTGTCAGGCCATGTTGGGTCTATGTTGAACGGCGTTGGACCCAAATTTGACAACTTAGCGGATTTGAGCCCCTTCAAAATAAGACGTGGAAAGACAAAGGGTTCTGGACCAATAAAGGCCCCCCCCAAGCTAAACTTAACAGCTATTGCAATTGCCTTCCGGTTCACGCATGCGTGCAAAAAGAGACGCAACGGCACCTTCGGTGCGGGCAAATTTTGGAAGCATCCCAGTTCCGCCCTTACTTCTTTCAGAAGTGCTTGTATTTTCTTACAACAAGTCAATGCCTGGAATTGATAGAGGGGCCTGGAAACAAATTGAATTTCGATTGAATGGATTGAATGCGTCATTGTTCAAATAATTCCCATGGAAAAACTGCAAACTGCCAAACAATTTAGGGGTGCTACCGATTTCAGATCCTGTCATGTCCACCATGTGTGTACCTTGTCCACCGGTTCGTTGGTTTGTTTTGAAACTGCAGGCGTTCGACTCCGTAGGAGAAATTATGTTGCGAATCGACCGAGTTTCAAATTGCAGTCATGCAATCAGTCCAGTTGGAACTGCATTGAGTCCAAACATATACATGACAAAGGCAAGTAATGTTGCATCCAGCGCGCAAGAAACATCCTGAAATTTTGACACACGGCGATGTGAAGTGCACCATTGGATTTATATGGGTATGGGTCAATACCTATAGATACATTACTATAGTGGGATGAACATCCATTTACCAGCTATTTTGGTGACACATTCACCAAATTCGCCATGTCATTTCGCCATGGCCATGTCACTCGGCGTCGCTCGGTCGATTTCATTTGACAATATTGTCGATCAGATTTGTGCACCGCACAACGTTGCCCTTTCCAGGGAACTCTCAGAGTTCGTATTTGGTTTAAGAGAGCAACACTTGAGATGGGCGAAAGTGAGATCGCTTTGATGTCATTATGAGCAGAAACTCCTCTCAAGGATCGTGCTCAAGACGAGCATGTGCTCCTTTGCGGTTGGTCCAGATCCTTCTGGTTCTTAATGTCATCCTTTTTGCAGCCACGGGTGCATGTTTCTGGTGGTTGTCATGGCTAACGCTGCAGCATCATCAGGTATCGAATGCTTTCAACCCTTTTGGACACCTGACATATGGAAAGGCACCAAAAAAACTTTTGCCCTTTGTGCCAGGGCCAAGGAAACGAACCAACTTTTTGCAGCGGTCGCACTGTTCCAACATAGTTCGAGGACCAATTCCAACCACTCTGCCGACCAAAAAGAATGCAACGTGCACCTGGCAAAAGTCAAGCAGCAAAAGTTTTTCACATTTTGCTGGTTCGACCTTGGAAACTTCCATAGAAGATGCGAAGCACGAGTGCATTCAGCTTGGCAATCTGTGCAGGGGTATCTCTTGTCGAGGGGAGAAGTGTTTGGCCATGATGGGGAAACTGATCAGGAATAATAAGACGACAAGCTTCCTGAAAATGTGTTTGTATTCTGGCGAGGCTCTTGAAGACACCATTCTGCCAGCTGCATCCAGCAACTCTACCATTGTAGACGCTGCAGTGGTGGTGCTTGCGCACAACCGCCAGAGTGATCTTGCGGCGTGTTTGGATTCACTTCTTCAACTTGAAGACATGAAGCTGTTTAAAATTTTTGTATCGTTGGACGATGACAGAGCTTACCCCGAGATGCGGTCAGCTGTCATTGAACTTTCACAGCGGTACCAGCAAAAAATTGTGGTTTGGACAGTCTCAGAGCGGAAGGTAGAGGCCAGTGACAACAAAGAGCAGCAAAAGTGGTTTAAAACAAGCACAGGCAAAATCGCGCACCACTACTGGACAGTTTTTGAGCGGGCGTTTATGGGTCAGCAGCACGACATGGTAATTTTCTTGGAAGAAGACTTGATTGTGGCTCCTGACTTTCTTACACTGTTTCGAAGCACTGCTTGGCTTCTGAGAGAGGATCCAAGTATTTGGTGCGTGAGCGCCTGGAATGACGTGGGATTTGCATTATCTGCATCCGATCAATGCCGCTTGTTTCGAACGACATATTTTCCTGGCCTTGGTTTCATGCTACCTCGTCATGTATGGTTACAGTTGAGGGAGGAGTGGCCATCTGCACCTACGATGGGCTGGGACTATTGGATGAGAACCGCCTTTCGTCGAGCAGACAAAGAGTGCATTGTTCCTGAAGTTCCTCGAAGCAGACATGAAAGCAGAAAAGGATCGTCTATTGTCACGCACAAACAGGTCAGGTTTTTTGAGCTTTTCGCCTTCGCAGAGCTAGCAAGTGCTTGTGATTCCACAGAACCATGCAACCAATTTGGAGATATTTCGTATTTGTTGCGGACAAAGTATGAATTTTGGATGCGAACTGCTTTGACTAAAGGTGAAACCATGAGAGGTGAGAGCCAGCTGGTCCAGAATGGATACGAGTGTAGATCAGAGGCTATTGACCTTGGACCGCAAAAATCCACTCAAGATTGCGCCTTGTTGGTTGGCATGGGTGACTGCAGTCAATACTTTGGTTTCCCCAAACAGAACTCGCATTGGGGCTGCAGATGCTGCCGTGGCCTTGAACTGGTAGGGAAAGAACATTCTCATTGGTCCATCTACTCTGCTGAAAGGACAGGCGATCCAGGAAAACTCTATGTTTATCCGTACAAATGGGAGGAGTATTCACGGATAGCCATGTCCTTCGGTTTGCAACCAGAGGGCATGGAACACATGATTCCGCAAGATGTTCGCGCCGAACATTATGGGTTGGTCGTTGGGCGACATCTTACCTCAGGTGCTGTCGTTCTCCTGGTAGACAAGAGAAGTTCAAAACAATTTCTCCCTCCTGATCAGCGGCTGACACGAAGCCTGAAACTGGTGCCTGTGGCAGGTCGTCAAGGTATGTCCTGTGAGGAGTCATGCAAGGAAGATGAAATGGCTTGTGATGCTGATCAGTTTCACTTTTTGAATGATTGCCATATTTTAACTTCCAGCTTTGGTTGCAATTTCTGTGCCCATCAGGCAGGCTTAGAGCTGCCTGCCTATGTGGTAGACGTCTTTGAACCCACAGTTGGACAGTGTTTGGTCACATATATTTCGCCATTTCACTGCGCCACCAAGCACCCATCCACTCGGAGGCTCTGCCCATGCATGCCCATTCCGGGCTCGGAACAGCTGCTTGTGTGAAAATGTTCATGCGCTGTGGGGCTGCATTCACTCCAGCATACTCCACGAATCATTTAGGCCCCTGTAGGATGTATGATGATGCATAATATCATTTTTCGCATATGGGCAGTCCTTGCCGCTGTCGATTCGTTTGCTGTAGCCATTTGAGGTTTGCTGTGCAGGCTCACCCAAAGGGGAGCCCGCAAACCATTGAACGTCTTAAAGTTCAAGCAAAGCACAGGCAGCACAGGTGATCAATTTTTGCATACCATCACATTGATCCGGAGGGGCTTTGTAAATCAGCTCCCCATTTTAACACATAGTCCCACGCCTGTTTCTTCTCCGTTCGTTGAGGCCACATGGAAAGCTAGCAGCACTTCCCTGTTGTGGTTTTCACTTTTGATCAGATGAATCCTCGGACCGTGAGTTTGCCGGACCTGGTTTCGGAGAAGCTGCCTGGCTCATTAAAAAAATGCGTAATTTTAGGTGTTTGTTTGATGTTGTGGTTTGTGTCCTATAATCCATCTACAAACATCTGTACATCTGTATATAATCATTTGTTGACCCTGCTGACTGAGGAAGAGGAACACTGCCCTGTCGCTCTCCGAGGGCTTCTCTGGAGCCAAACACACTGGCGCTTTGGCTGCCACGACGCAAACTAGTTGGCCAGGAGATCTGACACGAATCAGAGAGATCATGCCATGCCTTCTGAGTTTGTTGGGCCCTATGGCACTTGTTTTTGGTGCAGGGCATCTGAGAGGCTCACGACTGTTGTCACATTTTGTATCGCCGTATCAACATAACATTGGATTTGGGGGGTGGGGTGGGGTGGGGTACTGTAATATCGTTTATTGGCACTTGCGCACATACGTCATGCCACGTTGCTATGCATTCTGTTGCATTTCCACACATGCGTCATGCTACGCTACTGTACGTTCTCTTGCACTTCCACACATACGTCATGCACATACATCATTGAATCATGAAGATGAAAACAATGACGATGTTGTTGATGATGATGGTGATGATGGTGCTGATGACAACGATGATGAAATGTTGAAGTCGATGTTCATGTTGATGTTCATGGCGATGTTGATAATGAAACTAAAGTTTCGTTTTTGGAACCTTTGAAAGATGACAACAGTCGCGAGCCTCTCAGATGCCCGGCACCTTGTTTTTGAACGTGAAGTCAGCTGGCAACTCATGCATTTGCTACGAAGAAATCTGCGTTCGTTGGTTGTGATCTGCAGGACGGCCTGGTAAAGATCCATATGCAGGTGGAATCATTTTTGTGGCAGTTGGCGGCACAATGTTTTGCATAATATGTACTGTATATATGTTGCATGTCTTGTGCTCTTCGCGGCTTTTGAATGGTATGATTCATGAGAGGTGGATACCGCGTTTGTACCTGTGAAGACAGGGTGGCTCAAAATGCTTCCCAGAAAAGATTGCCTCAAGCCAAAGTTGCTTGAAGTTGTAGACCTTTGCGACCTCTTTTTGCTTCAGTGTGCTGAAAGCCGAGATGGAAAGGTATGAGCGCTTACGTGAGTTGGGCCGCGGCTCTTATGGCTGTGCAGTTCTTGTACGTGATCGAAACAGTCGACAACAGCGTGCTGGTCTTAGTGTAAAAGTTGCGAGAAGAAAACCCTGGGAACCAAGAGTGAGCCTAAAGGTTTTGAGCAAACTTGGCACGCTGAATTATTAAAATTTATACCTCCTGTCTGTTCACCGCATCTCTTCCCTGCTACCAGCTGTACTACCGGGTGGGAAGTGTAAGTTGAGGGCAACCCAGTTCAATCTTCAGATTTTGTCAATGTTGGAACTCAGGTGTTGTCAAGGAGATCGATTTGTCACGGATGCCCTCCCTCGCTCAGAAAGAAGCAAAGAATGAGGTGGATGTGTTGAGATGTTTGAAGCATCCAAACATTGTGGCATATTGCGATTCTTTTTTGGAAGGCCGCATGCTCTGCATTGTTATGGAGTTCGCAGACGGAGGCGACTTGAGCCAGCTCATAAAGAGGAAGAAGTCTATTTCTGAGATCCTCCGTCAAAGTGAAGTGTTACCAATCTTTGTTCAGTGTTGCTTGGCCCTGCACTACGTGCATAAGCTACACATCCTGCACCGAGATATCAAGTCACAAAACATATTTTTGACACTGTCTGGAGCTGTAAAGCTTGGAGACTTTGGCATTGCCAAAGTATTGGATCACACAGCTGCAGAGGCAATCACCATGATTGGAACTCCCATCTACCTGGCGCCAGAAGTGTGCCACAGCAAGCCATATGGCACAAAGGCAGACGTGTGGTCCATTGGCGTGGTTCTTTATGAACTGCTAGCCTTGGCACCACCCTTCACAGGAACAAACATGGCAGCGTTGATGAATAACATTGTCACAGCTGCCCCCAAGGAGCTTCCTGACTTGTACAGTGGAGACCTGAGAGATCTTGTGGTTGACATCCTGCAGAAGCTGCCAGAGATGAGACCAACAGTAACGCAGATCTTGGAACGTGCCATCATCCGTGCGGTTGCAGAAACATTGCCTGCGTGGCCTTTGTACCAAGATCGTTGTGACCAAGATTTGACCATGCCTAAATCTGACCGTGCACGAGAAGCCCCAGAAGTGGTGGAGGAGGGCATCCCGAGGAAAGACGAAATTCGAAGACGGCCACCCCTACCAGCACCAGATTCTGCACGGGCTGCCAGTGAGTACAGACAGAACCGGGAAGCAGCACTTGCTGCGAAAGCCCGTGTTCTGGGCAGAAGTCAGAGGAGTCTAAGTGCAGAACCAGGCCCCACATCTGCCGCAAGCGGTGCAAACAGTGCATGTGAAAGAGCTGCAAGGGAGGCAGAACACCTGCTAGCCTTGCAGCAAGCAGCAGCACAGGCTCGCCGTGATAGACAGCAGGTACAGCAACGTCTGCAAGCTGAAAAGGAAGCAAATGCTGCTAGATATCAGCTGGAAACTCTATGCGAGAGAACTGATCATCGTCCTGTTCCTCGCTCTGCAGATCATTTGGCAGACTTACACGAGGCAGCCGCCCAGGCTCGTAGAGATCGACGCTATGTGCAGCAAAAGCTTAAAGACCTGGAAAAGAACGCAGACAGTCATCCCATCTGGAATCTGACTGAAGATTTTCGTGAAATTGCACAAGATGGAGCGCCCGGCGACGGAAGAAGCCCGCGGCGGAGTGCTCGACAAGAAGAGGAGCACCTACTGGAATTGCAGGAAGCACGAGCTCAAGCACGTCGAGATCGTAAGATGCTTGATGCCAAGAGGAAAGCATTGGAAGATGCCAGCGATTCTGGGTGGGATCTTCCTGAAGATTCAAGGCATGCTCCGTGTCAAGGTAAAGCTTCAAACAGTCCGAGCCAATGTGCCACTGCTGAAGCCAGACATGTGCAAGCATTGAAAGAAGCCTCCGCTGAGGCTCGGAGAGAAAGGAAGTTGCTACAGCAAAAGGCTCTGGATGATTTGCATGGAAGTTATGCAGAGAGACCAGTCTCTGGGGAAAGCGACTGCGCAAAACGAATCCTGGCAGCCAAAGCCGAAGCACAGAGGCTGGAAGAAGAGCGACGCTATCGTGAACTGAGAGAAGCATCTGCTCAAGCTCGGAGAGAACGTAAATTGCTGCAGCAGAAGGTCAGAGAGATCGAGTGGGGGGATGGGAATTTTCAAGACTCGCCTTCGAGACACAGCAGCCCGAGCCAAGGGGAGCCCTCAAGGGACGAACATTCGAAGTCACGGAGGCTTTCAACCCTTGGATTTGCTGGCAGGCTGAGTCTTTCAAGGCCAGCTTCAGAGGAGAGATCCTTTCAATCCATAGAGCGCACCTGTGCAGACCCGGAGAGGGCTCGAATACCGATGCATGCAGTTCATATTGGCACTAGCCTGGCTCAAGCAGAAGACCTTGAGGTACCATGCCCCGGAATTTTACAGTTCTTCCTTTTGATTCGGTTCTGTTCTTTTTTTGGGGTAGCGACCTAATAATAATCTTATTCTTAATCCACAACTGCAAGATACTGCAAGGGCCAAACCCTTGCTGAAGCCCTTCATCAGACAGCCGTAGACTCTCCAATAGGAGATTTCTGTTTGGCTGCGCACGATGTGCTTCGCACCAAGGATCGGAGAGCTGCACACCGTGATGAAACACTGGGGTCGCTGTCCTACTCGCTCACTGTCACTTTGCTTGATCTTGAGAGGTCTTGCCTGGTACGTCCCCCTTGTCTTGAACTGAGATAGGATAGATGAGTTTGAAGTGACGTCCACATCGCTCTGAAGCTTCATAAAACTACTATCTTCATGTATCACACATTTCGCAGCATGGTGGTTGCCAACGGCCAAGCTGATTGGTACAGGGATGAAGGGAGAGCAAGGAAGACCCTGTGACGGGAAGAATGGTGTAAACCCGCTCAGGCTCCTTTGACATCTACCTCGCTGACGACTGGCCCATAGCACCAAAAAAACTGCGCTGCCACGTGTTACCATCATTCATGCGTTGCGAATGATGTGGTCAAATTGCAACAACCTCAAAAGATGTCACCCAAAGTTGAAGTTGAAATGGGCAGTCAACCCGTCACAACAGTGTTGACATGTTGAAATACAAAAGGCGATTCGACTAGATACATCATTTAGCCTCCACACATGCCACCATGATGGTACACCACGACGGTAGGCGCAGAGGAGAGCGTTTCGAAGGGCCTGAACTTCGTTCTGCCCCTGTATTACAGGTCGGATGCTGTTTGCTTCACTGTATCTGACTCTGTTAGACTCTTAGACTCTATCTGACTCCATCTGACTCCATCTAATTGTTCGACTTGTTTACAGTCTTAGTGGTTTATTATGGTTTATTCCATCCAAGCTCCCAGAGCTTCCCCTTGTCACTTTCCACACAAGTGGACCTTGTGCAGGTGTCGGCAGCTTGTGCTGAACACCGAAAAATCTGGCCATCGAGTACCGCAAAAGATGCAAATGGAGCTTCGAGCCTTAGAAAAGTGACTTGGAAAATGAACCGCTGCTGTGGTTGTTTTTTTTTGGGGACTGCCGTGAAAATGCTGTGAATCAATTCTTAGGCTGGAATCTATAAAACAAACAACCAATGTAACATCGAGCAATCGAGGTCTGTTGCTGGTGAGATCCGATCTTTGAACCCGCTTCTCTTCCAGCGTTTTGATGATGTCCAGCTAGACAGGCTCAGACTCCTTGTGTTTAACCAAGCCCTGCGAGGGCCAGAGGAACACTGCGGATGTGATATTTTAAAACTGTCCTGATGGAGGCTGCTTCGCGCAATGCCCTTTTTGAGGCGCCGCTGATGTCAGGATCTTGTGGATAATTGGACGTAGATTTGGTTGAAGGAAGCCGGATCTTGCTCAAAAGAGGACAAACCGTTTTCTTTCTTGAGGGGGCGAGCTCACCAAAGTCAGTCTTGCACGAAGAAAGATTAGCGGAATTTCATTGCGAAGGTTCCAAAGAAATCTGCGCCGCAAGGCTTTCCATTGGCCGTTGGCTGTTTGGTTGCGATCAGCTTGCAGCGGCATGGCCAAAAGGCTCTAGATCATTTCTGCTCATGGCAGGCTGGTATGGGACCCCCACATGTTGCAGCCTTGCAAACTCAAGCGAGAATTCGAAGAACTACTTGTCCTAGCTGCTAGCTTCAGTATATGGAGAACCGTGGCATCCTTTTCCCTACCTCTCAAATCCTTGTTGATTTGTTTGAACTCTGGCAGGCAAGATAAACCTGTTTCTGGATCCCAATGGTGTTGGTGAAAAGCACGAGCTCACCAAAGGGGCAATCTTTGGCGAGAAGCACTTTAGGCTTCCTTCCGGCGTTGGAGTTGTGTGAGTGTCCTTTCATGATGTTTGGGATCGCTGATCGCACTTCATCTGTCTTGTCAGATTGGGTGATGAGTCAATGCTCGACATGGTGGGCGGTGCTGCCCAGTGTGAGGAGGCTTGCATCATTGGAGTGACTTGACTGCAGTGCAGACATACACCTGTTTGACCTTTTTGACCTGTTTGTCGGTGTTTGTGCTTGTTGACATGGTTGGTACATGCGGATAGACCCAAGGTTCTGGGCACAGAAGTTTTAGAGGCCTGGGTCTGGGTTACTGCAAATAGAGGTGAGTGACACGTTTCAAGCAGCCTGCTGCTTCCAAAAGCACGGTGTGTGCAGATTTTTGGTTGCATTTAAAAGGGGGAAAGAACTGCAGGCATCTTACGCAGATCGTGCCTTTGGCAATCGCAAAATTGCTTTGAGCATGCGGCACGCCCCTGCACTCTCTCGGGTAGTTCCTCAGATGCATGCATAATTATCCAGTGGCAAAAATACGTATTTAGATATGCGTGCAAATTGAATCAAACTATCAAGTGATGTACCTATATGTTTGCACCAGAACGATTGTTTGTCAATTGTCATGACACCTTTGAAACTTGATAAACTTGATGATCAGCCCATCAACTTCTGTCCTGAGGTCTTGCCAGAGGGCGGCCTTCACGCAAAGCTGGATTTCGTTTGGTGCTCAGTTGTCCTCCATCTTCGCAGGTTCCATGATTTTCTTTGATTTTCGTGCTTGGGCTGCCTGCGACATGACTTTGAATTTGTGACCAAGGCATCCTTGAGCTTTGAGGAGAAGACAAAGCTGATAGAGGTGCGCCAGTGGACCAGCTGAGCATGAACCACCAGTGGCTGACGTCGCACCTGCGTTTCTCAAACTGCGGTCCAGGAGAAGCAGCCTGGTGCTGTGGAACATGCACTGGAGGAGTTGGCCAAGGCCCAAACAAATCTGGTGAACTGGTCCTGCCGTTGCAGGAGGATCAGCAGATCTGATGCGACACAGTCATGACCCATGGTCTTTTGAGGCTATACTAGTATGACCCAAAGTGCATGAGTAGGGAGAGTTTTGAACATTGAAGGACTGGGGACCCTCTGCCCTCCTGCCTTGAAAGGTTTCCACTCAGCTTCACTTGCTGTCTGGCCAGGACTTCACACATCAGTGGTGCCGAGTTTCACACTTGAATTTGCAACACACTCATGTTCCACAGCGTTCCCTGTCCCCTGTCTTTGCAAGGAGCTCCTTAGTGACACACCCATTGAAGACAGCGTAATTATGGTGCAGAAGGGTAGCAACTCAGTTGCAAGACATGATTGAGCTGCTTGATGGATTTTGCTGGAATGGCTTGGCTTCCTTCAATCGCATCATAATCATAACCAGCGCTTCACCACGAGGTATAGAAATTCGGGGTGACCTCGCTTTGACGGAGAAGCTGGATGCCCTGCCTCCCAAGAAGAAGCGCATGCGCAACGTGGCTAAAATCATGGGAGAGCACACCCTTTCCCACTTTTAGTTTAGCAGAATGAGCAGAGCGCATTGGCCTTGGCTCCTGGCAACCTCTCGTCCTATGGTGCCCTACTTACAAGAGTTACGACAAATGTTAGTGAGTGGCAAATCATGGCAAATCCTTATGCTGCGAACTCCCCTGAATCTAAATGCTGGAGTTTGAGAGTGCGTGAGCAGAAATTGTTCAGAGCATTTCCGAGCGTCTTCTTACTCTCTCCTTTCACATATCCACCTTCCGCATATTTTGCTGCAGTCCGTTTCACTTGGTCACTTATTTGTCCTGTGCTGCTGAAATCTGCTGCTCGGGCCGTGTGCTCTGTGAAAATATTATGGGTGCACGGATGTACCCAACGCCTGTGTCATAGCAGACGAAGCTCTCGAGCTTCGTGGTAGGAGATCATAGGACATGCCATAGGAGACCACAATAGATCACGCACGCCTACGCGTTCTTGACAAGGACTTCTGAGAGGTATGCTTACACAAAGCTTTCGCCAAACATACGCCCACTACTCCCCCATTGCATCTTCATACAGTGTCATACAGAGCTTACGTGCATGGAGCAAACCGGAGCACTCTTGGCTCTTGGCACAACTGGACTGAAAGCATGCTGGCCAGGAGTATGTCTAAAATACTAGCAGTAGAACGTCAGTGGGCAAAACGTGGTACAGCAATGTGCAGCATACCTAAACAACGCAGGATTCTGTTCCTATTCTTCTAGGCACTCCCGCTCGACACTATGGCTATTCTGTTTGTTGTGGTGCTCTGCCTAATTTTGTATTCAACCCTGGCTTTGGCATGATCAACCCCCTGCAGGCATCTTTCTCGACAAGGCAGAAAAGCTTGCAGGCCTGAATGGTAGGATCATTCATTCATGCACCGGGCTTTGATTCACGACTAGTGCAAGTTGATCCAGGTCGCAGGGAACTGGGGGTTATTCATTGGCATTCATGGGCATGCTTGAACTCCGCAGCAATTCTTGCTTGGGCTTGGCCATCGCAGTCACACATGGAAACAAAGTCAGCCTCAAGTCTGAACACCATCATGCGAAAGGACCTGCGTCCTGACTTCAAGACCCTGAATCTTCCTGCTACAGTGCTACATGACCTGCAAACACAGAACGTACCAGATAGGCAGCAAGTTTGGTGAGTTTTCAGCTTAGCAGCGTTGATGGCGGGTCATTGCGTTGTTGCGATGTCTGTCCAATGCCGCAGTCTGCTTGTAGCAGCAGCTCTTATCTTCTTGGGCACAGGTTTCTCCTTTGCGAATGGGTGGCTTCCATCTCCCATGTCACAGGTGGCACCCAACCGAACTGGGCCCCCACCAAAATCATTTAGTCCATCCTCTCCAGGAAGTTCACATGAAAACCAATGGGGAAAGGTCATGGCGTGTGTTGTCTCGTTGATGTTGACTCTGTTGACCTTCCCTGTGGCTGCAACTGCCAGGGATGGTAGGGTATCACCACCAACCTGTGTGGCCATCATTGATGCGGCCACTAATTGCCCAGCACGTCCAGCGGTTGGGGCGAAGAAAAATGCTGAGATCCAGTTGAAATCAGCGCAGGAGCGGCTGGCAGCTGCAGAGAAGGAAGCTGGGAAAGTCATTCAGCTGGGTGAGTCTCCGCAAGGTGAACCTGAAATGGTGGAATTTTGGAAAAGTGAATTGGCGCGTTTGGACTTAAATCGGACTTTCATGTCAGAGTTGGAGGCGAAAATGAAGGAAGATGCACAGATTCGTCTGGTGTCTCAGCTTGCGATCGAGACCTCTGACGTGGCTGCAGAAGAAAAGTTTTGGTGCGAGGCATTGGGAATGCAGCGGTATAAAGCTTTTCCAGATGGCAGCGTTATCGTTGCTTTTGGTCCGCCAAGCATTGGTGGAGAGGAAGGTGGATACTTTGGGGTCAAAATAGTGCCTGCAACTTCCCAGAAAGCTTCAAGCTCAGATTCCAGCAAAAGATCTCCAAGACTCAGCTTCGTGCAACTCACCACGCCGGCTTTGATACGCATTTCTCGGGTCGTCTCCAGTGGTGGTCAAGTTGTTGATGGCTATGGCTACTATGGAGTGCAGTCTCCAGCTGGTGTTCTTGTCCGCGCATATGTGGAGGACCGCAGAGATCCGATGGAACTGGTAGCCTTGGCTGTGGAGCCAGAGAAACTCCAAGAGACCAGCGAGTCTTTGAAGAAGCTCGGGTTAGAAGATCGGGGCCCATACAAGTTGGTGTCACCCGAGATGCAAGCCTACATGCCTCCCCTTCCAGAAGGCAATGTGCTCTTTGGAAGTGGTGATCCAACGTTCAATGTTCAGGTGCTGCTTTTGCCTGAGCTTCGGCAGCCAAAGCCCAGTGGCAATCCTTTAGAGAGCCTGGGCCGTGGGCCAACGTTGGTCGTGAATGAAGACAGCTCCTGGGGAGTTGGCATTTTGGATGATCTTGAGAGGCCCATGGTGCCACTGTCTTTAGCTCGAAGCCCGCGACTGACCGTCTATGGATCGGGCCCAGAGCTTGTCGTGGACGCTGGTATTGTGCTTTGAATGCTTTTCCTTTGGCACCTTTTTGCCCAATGTATTCCATCTCTCTCTCTCTCTCTCGCTGGGCGTATTCCATCTATTGGTGAGTCTATGTGCATATAGAAAATGAAAGACGAGGATATATATGCATATACACATGTTATAGGAATACATAAACAAACCAATAAATAAATAAATAAATATAAATAAATAAATATATATAAATATAAATAAATAAATAAATATAAATAAATAAATATAAATAAATAAATACATAACCATACACACACATGTATATATATATATATACACATATTTATATAGATATATCAATGTTCGACATGTTCAAACATCATGCTCTCTCCTGTTTGGAGTGATTGATGGCTGACAGATTGTTAGTGATTTTCTTTCGTGTCGGGATCTAAGGGAAATGGCAACATGGTGATCGACCTGCGGAACATAAAGGAAGCCCCGCGACCGTGAAGCGGCTCGGGATAGCGAACTACATCTGAGCCGAGCCGTGGTTATGTGGAGTGAAAAAAAAGGACGTGGCGCTCCAAAGTCTTGTGTGGTGATTACCATGCTGAAAGCTGAATCAATAATCTTCCCATAACTCAAAGAGTTCAACTGGAGAGGCGACTCGATCTTCGACAAACTAGATCCATACTGCGTTGTGAAGCGACGCCCTGAGATGTGATCAGCTGGGATCAGTGCATTGAGCTGTGAGTATTTGCTTGTGACAGTGTTGCATCACTGTATTCACTGTATTGCTACACTGAGGTTGGGCGAGTTCAAGCGCTTCCAAACTCCTGTGATGTGGAATGTTGGAGTCAACCCTCAATTCGAGCAACTTGTTTGCAAGCAGTCGCACTGGGCCCCAAAGGAAGACATACACATACACATACACATACACAGACATACGCTTGCAAAAGAAACCAGAATAAATCAACAGTCAGAAAATCAAAGAAGAGAGAAACAGCTCAATCCCACAATCCCGCCCAACAGATGCGAAACAAGAACAGCGGACAGTGAGCAAAAAGTCATTTGTGAGATCGTAGACAAGCAAGCAACAAGCACCGGAAAAAAGAAAAAGTGACCCTCACACACACAAACGAACACAAGCAAACATCCACCACAAACTAAAAGCAACAAAGAAGGAAGGGAAGAAAAGACAGAAACAGCTAGAAGTGCTTGCACACACACACACACTTCATATGCAAGCGCTGGTGCCTGTAAACATCATTCGAACAAGTGGTTTCGCAAGCATGAATTTCTTCTGGCAGTCGTTTTGGCTCTCCTTCAGGTACCAAGGTGTCCTCACATATTCCGATGAGGAAGAAACTTGGTGAAAACATAAGCTCTAGCATGTTTTGCATACATGCAGCTGCCATTGACACCTTGATAATCCTTAATCAGAAGAAAAGCCAAGGAGTTGGAAATCATCGTCCCTTGGCAGATCATTCGCATGACCTTCTTCCGCTGCCCATGTGATACATGATGATGAAGATTGATGCAGCAGGAAGTGGCAGTGAGATGTGAGAGGACACCAAAAACATCACTGCGAGCAGGTTATGGATTATGACAAATTCTCTGCCGACGATTTGTGTGGCAGCTGCACAGTGAAGGTTTCAGACTTGCATCTGGTCAGCATTGGTCATCGATCATGCTCCTCCTGAGTTATCTTTGCCCCGATGTTTTTTTTTGGGGCCTTTTTCTAAACTTCTAAACCTGAAGTTGCATTGCCTGGCTGAGGCATGATGGATGGTATGGAAAAGTGGACCTCCAACGCCCAAAGCGAACTTTGGGAAGTGGCAAAGATGACGAACATATGTGGCTTGGTTGGCCGAAGATGAAATTCGGTTACGAGGAATGCCGAGATGAGTTTGGATGATCATCCTGACGACAGCGACAAAGCTAATTGTATACGGCAATGAGTAGGCAGTCGGATGATCAACATTGGTGCTTTTGCAGCTGGAACAGTAGCCGATGAGAGGAGCAAGCAAGGAACTTATGATAGAGAAAGGTAGGATCTGTGGGTAGTCCCCGTCCATTGTGCAACTTCTATTGGCTTTCTGTCTTTGCAAGGCTAGAACTAGCCGGCAGGCTCTACTTTGGAGTGCCTTGGCTTGGCAACGCTACATCTTGCACGCTGTCAACGCTAATTTCGTGCACCACGGGGCCGCAAGTCTAACGGTTGAACGTCATTATTCATTGTAAGACCAAATGTACCAAACAAAGAGCCTTGACAATTGACGAGAGAGAGAGAGAGACAAACAGAGAGAGAGAGAGAGAGACAGAGAAAGAGTGAGTGAGTGAGCGAGTGAGTGAGTGAATGAAGGACAAGTGGTTAAGGGACCGTCTGCATACCATTTTTCCTTTCTGATGCAGCCAAAGTGGCCAAGGTCAAGTATGACTACGAGAAAATCAGTGCGCTCACCAAGAAGCCAAAGGAGAGAAGCTGGAACCATCAGGCTGGCGAAATCCAACTAGTGCGAAGCTGTAGTATTTGTAGCCATTTTAATATAATGGATGATTTGCGTGTGGATTGCTGCACCGAAGATTTTGCCATTTCAAAGGTGCTTTTTAATCTCGACAGCCTCGAAGCTTGGGGTCATGAGACCATCATGTCGTGAACTTGGCTTCACTTTGATGTTGTGTGCTGGTGCACGTGCGTACGGTATTTGTTGCATGATTACACCACGCTCTAGCTGTAGATGATGTTGACTAATGCACTGAAGCTGAGGCTGGGCTCAGTGTTCATGAAAACCTTGGAAGGCGCTGCAAATCAGACACCTTTTGCTTTGGTGCCTTGACTGCAAGAGGTAAAGCAAATATGATGCAAATTCGATGCAAATTCGGCCTCAACAATCATGTATATATATATACAAGATTATATAAGTTAAGTGTAAGCCATGATAGGCCATGAAAGTCTTGAAGCTGGGTTGGGCTACTTCATGCCAAGGAGCTGAGCAATTTCCGGATCTTTGGTGGCCTTCAGAGAGGAGGTGCAAACGAGAAGATCGTGCTGCTGAAGGCTAGAGAGATCTAGAGAGCAAACGGCATGGACCGTCAGTGCACTGGGGAAGCTCTCTGACACTCTTGAAGACTCAGAGTGAAAGTGTCATGGCAGGCATCCAAGAAAAGGTTCGTAGACTTCGTGGAGACCTCAAAGACGCGTTTCATCTCGTCGCAATTTCTTTCGGATGTGCTTTTTTTTGTCCCTTAGCTTCGATGCTCAGATCAAGAAGAGCCAGAAGGAAAAACAGTTCTTGCAGTCATGCCGCGGTTCCACGTTGGACAAGCAGCAGACCATCAAGGTTCGGAAGCCAAGCGGAACTAAAGATACAAAAGCTTCTTACAACCTGCCCTGGGCACACCTGTTATCAGATTGCCATGCGAGGGCATCATCAAGTCCTTGATTGAACGATGGGAGACGGAAGACCAAGCAGACAACTTCCGCAAAGGTGCAGCAGCATACTGATAGACTATGATAGACTGAAAGTGATACTGCCTGGAACCTGCCAAACTCATCCCAAATCCTCAGCTGGCCTGTCATCTTTCTAGCCAGCAGCATGCTCATTGTTATCATGGGGGATATGGTTGCAATCGCCTCTCTCTACTTTTGTTGCTCAGTCCTCCTCGTGCTCATCCTACCCTGGATCATTGCATTTTCCTCCTTGTTTTGATAATATGGTGATACATGGATTTTGCGCAGGTCTCTTCCAAAGCAAGATTGTGGAGGCTGTTGATCCAAGCAGGTTCCGTGTCGCATATCGTGGTGCCAAGGCGTGGGAGTTCATCAATTCATGGTGCATCATGTGCGCAATTCGAATGATATGGCAGCCATTCGTGCTTGCAGCTTTCCTGAAATGATCTTGCGATATCGGCGATATCTTGTGGTGCGATCTGACTAATCTGACTCACAGGCACATATTACAGTACGAAATGCACTGAACCTCAGCGGTGGCGGCTGGTTCGACAAGCTGGATCCATATGCGATCGTCAGGTGCTTCAATTAAGTCCACCTGGGGTTCCATGTGTTGCAGGGCTGTGTTCCCTTCGGTTTCATCTCGCCCACTTGACCTGATACGCTGATACGCCATGATATGAAAGGGAGTTTGACTCAGTTTGACTCAGTTTGACTGTATGAAGCTTTTGTTTGCGTGGACTGGAGTCAGGGCTTGTGGCAGTGTTGCAATGAGGTTTCGTGGCAACAAACAGGAGCTCAGAACCTTGGTTCGGCCAAATAAAGAGCGGATATGGGGATTTTCTCATTGGATTCTTTTTTTGATTGGCCCCCCTCTGGGCTGACAAAGGAACCAGCGTCCTCCAAGATGCCGGCGGAGATCCAATTTGGAACTGCGAAGGCCAAATCTCGAACAGTGGAAAGGCAGTTTGTGATGCCATGCAATGCCACATGCTGCCACAGAAAATGCACATTTGGATGAGGCCATTTGGTATATGGCGGTGAAGTGGCATTGGAAATCTCTGTTTGGGACTATGCAGCTTGGATAAAAGATGATGCAAGTGTTGTTTGTGGTTCCTACATGGCAGTCTCAGTATGTCGTTCTTCCGCACCCAGGACCACTACAGTTCTGATGACCTGGTTGGCACTGGAGTGGTACAGGTTCGGCAGCACGACGCTGGAAGTTCTGCTTGCATCTTGGTAAGTTATGCTTACCACGTCAGGTGGAGCAGTTCTGCAATGGTTTCGAGGGCATGGTTCCCTTGAGCTGCGCAGCTGAAATAGACATAGACCACCCTGCTGAATCTTTCTCCATTTGTTCCTCTTCCAGCAAGTTCGCAATTGAGGCGTGTCGAGCGATAAGAAAAAGCAGAAGAAGTCATTGAAACAGTCGCGGGCTCAGTTGGAAGGTGTCAGCTGCACCAATCTCTGATTATTTCTCCCGGTCTTCACGTGGCAAGTGCTTGATTCTGAGGAGTATGATCACCATCGGCATTCTGTGGGATGCCCCGCCGCAGGAAATTTGTGCATTTTCTTCGATTCATACTTTTCCTATCTTAGATAGTGTGAGCAAGCAGTGTGCATGGTCCGCAGGATCCGACAACCGGCAAGCCGCTCGACCCGACACAAACTCTGGCATCTGGCGGTACGAGGGCTCTTATCAGCTGAGCAAATTTCGTTACGACAATTGGCGAATTGACTGCAATGTGGTCAGTCACAAGACTGACTCCCATCTTTGCAATGCTCCATTCTGCTTGCACTTCCCCGCATGAGCAAGCAGATCGAGTTTGCAGGATCGGTTTTGGAGTTTTGGTGTGGTAAGACACACGCTTTGCATGTCCCACGGGGCAGCCAAATCCAAGATTTGATGCTCAGCGACGTTTTCACTTTTTTTGGTGCATCCCCAAGATGTGCCATAGAGTCTTTCAGCCACTCGCTAAAGGCGAAGGGCAAAGGGTTGATCGCCGGTTGGATGGGAAAACTAAACAAATGCAGCGAAATTATGCGAAATTGAGAGAGACTCCTCAATAAAAAGAGAGAGAGAGAGTGATGTCGTCCAGATTTTTTTTTTGGCAATGTTGGTCAAGAAGTGTACGGGCGGACGGTGTGGGCATGGAGAAGGAAACACATCGCTTTGTGTGCCAAGCAGGTAGATCCAACGTAGGTAGGTGTGAGGCAGCTGACTTGCGAGCTGGTGCATACTCAGTCAAGAAATGGCTCACTTTGCTTGGCAACTTTGAGCTTGTGATGGTGCAGAGCAGATGAGTTATGGGTCTACCATAGGAAACATTCACCTACAGGCCCTTATCCAATCTCGAAGCAGCTGCCTCACATGGTCCATAGCAAGGCTGCATGGACTTAGGGCGGGGCTGCCATGAACAATCGGGCCATTAGTCTTCCAGACCTGGCTGCCGAGAAGAAGACTGGACTGCAACAGCTTTCCATGGGTTGCCATGCGTCATGCACGTCGTTTTTGTGGAGTTGGGGTTGGCTAAAAATGTTGAGCTGAGGAAAAGGAACACCGCGGCATCCCTCTCTGAAGGGTTTGCTGGTTCGCACCACAAAGGCGCCAAGACGTCGCAATGTGTTGCAAGCTTTCTCTGTTGTTTTCTGGTGCAGAGTGCGCTTTCGCATCTTTCGCTTGCCAGGTGCCCTGGCAACCAATGTGCCATGGCCAGGTCGTGATCCAAGATTGCATATTATGACTGTACACCTGTTTTGTCAGACATTCCGTGATTTTGAGTCCCACCTGTTTGATGAGATATCCACTTGGACAGGCCGCCCTGGACTGTCCAAACGGGTGCCTTGGCAGATTTTTGTGTATCCGGCATCAGGGGCTTAGGGGCAGCAACTCTTACATTCGCATTTCTTCATCAAGTTGTTGCTAGTTGAAGAAGATTTCATTAGGATTTGCTTCTTTTTGTTGTGATGGAATTGCTGCTTTGCTTTGCCCAGTGCCATATGCTCCGTACAATACAATTCGTCGCAACTTTCGGTCGATCCAAGGCGTATGATGGCAGCAAGGAGGCATGGCCCAACTCGTTGGGCAGAGTGCTGCCTTTGTATTATAGGTGAGGCACTTAGTTTATTGCCAACAATGGGATGTGAGGTTTTGTGATCAGATGCTTCCTTGTGAGTTGTACCAGCCGCCATCTTTCATTTTCTCAGCTTCCTCAAGACGTTTTAATCCGGGGACTTCACTCCGGGTAAATAGTAAAAATTGAAGGTGTCGGCAGCTGATTCTTACCACGGAGAAACGCCACAGCCTTGGAAACACGCTGGCCGCAGAAGCATGGCCTCACTTGACGGAACTCAGGTGGCCGCCGAGTGCCTCAGAAGCTGCACACAGATGCCCGTGCATTAGAAAAGGCTGCTTGACCCTTTGATACCAAAAAGGACAAAACTACTGGGTCCATTGGTATCCTCATTGGAGCCATGGCCACATGGCAAAGAAGGCAAAGCATGGCAAAGCATGGCAAAGCATTTTGGTTTCAATCACCTTTGCAACTAAATCCTCATTTTGGTTTCATTTTGCTTCTTCTTATGCGATTAGAAACAGCGATTCTATGCAGATCTTAAGTCAAGTTGCATGACTTAGGAATGAGTTAGTCGTTTGACTGTACTAAGGTTGTTGCCAAAGAGATTCGCAACATCCATCCTTTGCTTTTCCAGCGTATGGACGATCGCCAATTGGACAGGCTCACGCAAGTCATCGCAAGTCATATCTCTTTCGCAGTTGCAGTGAGTGTCGCACTTGTGCGAAAGTTCCCGGTGGATTCTGTGCAGGTTTCTGCGTACCATGACCTTCCTGAGGCTCTCGCACTTTGCTGCTGTTGTACGACTGAGTCTCCAAGTCTCCTCATGACTTTTCATCCAGTTTGATCTTTTGATCCACAAAAACCCAACAAATCCAAAGAAGGACAGTGAAGTCAGTTTAAAAGTTGCTAAAACAATAGGATGGCCATGGCAGTGCTTCATGGAGGCTTTCTATAGGCCGGTGGATCTTCGGCAGTGAAGTTCTGAAAGCTGAATGGCCTCGGACAGAGCAGATGAGATGCTTCATGTTGTTGACCGGCAGCTTGGAAGGGTTGAGCGGTTGGATTCTTCGATTCGTTGGTGGGTTTATGATGATTATCGATAATTTATACTTGTATAACTTATATTATTTATGTATATTTATGGCTTTTCCATACTTATCCACATTATTTGGCACATTTTTGCTTCTGTTCGCAGTGAGGTGCTTTTAATTAGTCTCTGAGCTTTTTCTGAGGTAGGGTAAATATCTATCGCGATGGTAATGGCGTTGGAGAGTTTCTGGAACTTCTGCCGGGTTCCATCTTTGGTGAGCAACCTTTCAGGCACACCTGCTGTGCTGCGCATGGAAAACTGATCGCCGACAGTGTGGCGGATGTCATGCCAGGATGGGAGATGAACAGATCAATGATGCCGTTGGTGGAGCCGCACATTGCGAAGAACCTTCCATTGTGGGCATGCTCACCACGGATGTCTTGGAGGCGTGTACCTGTGATATCCTGTGATATTGTTCCCAGTTCTGTCAGCAAACCAGAGCTTCCTGCAGGCTGCATTCGCGGACCGAATTTATGGCAATCCTCGAATTGCTCAGAAGATCCGTCACTCCCCGGCGCTTCAGCGCGCAGTTCTGTGACTGGGCGCAACGTAGAGCAGCACCAGCACGAGTGTTTTGTGCTCAGATGACCCTGTCCAGCCTGTCCAGCGACCGAAGTCACGCTTCCAAGGCCAGAACCAGATCCTGCAAAGCCCAAAGTGGAGTTGGAGCACCTGCATTTCGCTAGCACTTGGAAAATGAGTTTCTGAAGCCCATGTCAATAATTTTCAGTCCATCTCAAACCTGGCCCAGGAAGCTCAGGAAGACTGTACTGTCTGGACTGCACACCATGTTTTCCTCACTGACGACTGTGCAAAAGCTGCGAAGGTCGGCGCAAGAGAAGGCTGAAGTCTTTGAAACGATTTCGAGTGCTGTCCGATCAGGGTGCCTCAGCAAGCTAAGCTCAACATTTTTGCTATGGCCATATAAAAATGGTCATATGGTCGCTATGGCATGCTATGGCCTGGTTTGCAGCGAGTTTCCTTGAGGCTGGATGAGATGGCAAAACTTGTGGCGGTGCTTCACCTGATGCCCGGAGAGCCTATTTTCACCACAGATTCACTGGACGAAAGCGTACCTTGGATGAAGATTACTTGAAGCCCGGCCCAAAGTTCATGTGCAACACTGGTGGTCGTAATAATATGCTTTAAAACTTCAGCTTATGTCATGATCTTTGAAGGTATTCTACATTGAAGAAGGGAGTGCGGGGCTTGGCAGTGCAAGCTCCACTCGTTGCGACACAGACTGAGTGCTGCGTGTGTGCTGACGCCCAAGGAGTTGAAGTGAAAGCTGATGCTATGGCCTTAGTTATTTTGGGACGCTTCAGAGTCCAGCTGAGGAGTGGGAACTTTTGCACTTTGGCATTCCTGACCTCCCACAGGTCACGCTGATCGAGAAGCCAGAGAGCAGAACTCCCAAACGCACCCGGATCCATATCATGTTGGAGAGAGCGGAGAAGCTTGCAGGCTCGAGCCGTTCTTTGTGGCACAACATTTGAGGCATAGGTCAATGGGCCAGCTGCCAGCTGAAGAGCGGTTGGATGCTGTCCGCAGTGCATAAAGTGAAAGTGCCAGCTTTGCAGGAAATTCAATTTTTGACAAGCTGGACCCATACGTCATTGTCAAGCTTGGCGAGTACAAGCGATTTCAGACTCCAGCCACATGCTCAGAGCCCATTGGAAAAAGTTGGGGAGCCAGCAACAACTGACTCAGGTCCAATGGAATACGGGAGCCACTTGGCGGAGTCTTCTGCAAATGTTCCATCCACTTCCATCCCTTTGTGGTCAAAGCTGCCGAATGTCCGAGGTCAATCCTTTCTTCAACTATGATGGAACCCTAACGTTCAATGGAGAAGAAGAGGTAACTTTCACAGCGCCCCGGCTGCACGGCAAGTAGTCAGCGAGTTGAGAACCAGTTGCCTGTGCCTCCGGAACTGACTGGCAAGGTCATGGACTACGACAAGTTCACTTCTGATTCTTTGTGTGGGAGCTGCACCATTCCTGTGCACACCTTGCATCTGGGTTGCACGCGAGGCAGAAAAAATCGGGGCACTTTGCTTTCACGAACCAAGTTCAGCCTGGAATTAAACTAGACACGATGTGGCCTGCTTCAGATAATTTTGTACACTTCAGTTTCTCTGAGACGTGCAAGCCCTCCTTGGTTTGGACAATGCAGAGTGTTTACACAATAATCTGAAGCTTGTCCGTCCCTGTGTGCAGACACACAGACACACATATAAACATATGCCGGCTCACACTGCACCTGTTCCTGTTTGACCTGAACTACACTAACTTTAAACATAGAGCAGACCAAAGCGGCTTGCAAGTGTGAGTTTACAACGCATTTTTGTTAATCTTGGACATTGATGAGGACTGATGGATACAATGGGAAAGCTGATCTATACCGGCCAAAGTCTTCCGTGAACATGATGAGCAGCACGGACAGCGATTTGCCCCTCGCTTGCGGGTCAGCATGTTCGAGAGATCCCGAGTTGGTATTTCAAATGCCTGTTTTCAACCCAAAGACGTCTCAAGGATGGAGAAGGCTGGCAAACTCTTCTTTTCAGCGACTTGGCCGCACTACCAGCATCAGGCGAAGGAAACCATCGAGATTTCTTGGTGCGATCCACTTGCAAGGGCACAGTGGTGTGCTGTGTGCAGGTGAAGTGGGACTACGAGGCATTCAACCCACTCATCCCACCAAAGACAAAGACGTGGCCTGATCAGGCAAGACTTCTTCGATCCTTACTCTGTCAGAGACTTTCTCATGTTGATTGATCACCAGTGGGGCCTGAAGACCCACTCTTCACTGACTCTGCTGCTTCTGCATGTCGTCCTTCTGCAGGTGCTGTTCAACTTGTTCCAAGACTCGATCTGGGGCCACGAGCGTCTCATGCTGCTCAGCAATGGAAAGTAAACAGCCGGATCGGTCCAAACATGCGAAGAGACTGACAGCAACTGACAGCAACTGACAGCAACTGGGTCCGAGGCTTCAAAATGTATTCATGAGGGCTCTACAGGGCGCTGCATCTTCGACGCACCTCATCTGCATTTACCTTCTACAAACGCAAAAACATTCCGGATGTGACATGTTCGCTTGGTATGGGAAGCAACATCGCATGTGCCATGGTGTGGTTGGATACAGAATGAACATGTGTATACACAATACATACACACACAGAGCACATGTAAGACATTGCAGAGAATGTACTGCAATGCATGCATCCCTGCAATGCTTCCATTTCGACAGACCGATGCATTCGCACATTGATGGCACCTTCAGAGCATAAAAGTATATACATGGGTCTGTATATATATATATAAATATAAATAATATATAAATAATATAATATATATATATATATTTTGTGAATAGAACCTCGGCCAGGTGCAACCCTATCAACTATGTATATAGAGCATGGTAGAATGGGCCAGCTGTGGGAATCGCAATCATTCCTTATTCCCCGCCGCTCCGGCTCAAGACAACACGCTCTAACGCCAAAGGTACACGTACAGGATTGGTACAAAGTACTACGATCCATTCATAGGTTATCAGCCGTATGCTCTGCCCAGGGTGTACGGTGGCCCCACTTGACTCCGACGGGTAGGTGCTTGAAGAGCGCATCTACCTGGGTGGTTGGTTTCCCCACTCTGGTGGGCGACACGACCATTGACTCGGACATTGACTTTGGCATCCTGCACTTGCACTACTACAAGTCGTTGGGCTCTAGTAAAAGGAAGTGACCTATTGCACTGAAGCTGGAGCAATGTTTCAGCAACCACAGTCGAGCAGCAACGAGACTCACATCTCCTTCGCGGCACCGGCGGCAATCACTAATATGCCGGGGTCTGTGGAGAGCGGTGGTGGTGGTGGTGGTGGTGGTGCAGTATCTTATGTGGCACCAAGTAGTGGCACCTCTACAAGCAACTTCACAATGGTGAGCAGTGTACCGACGGCGAGAGGAAGTGGCGAGATCCGCAAGGGCGCGTCGATCATCGTTTGCCATTGAAGACGCCAGCGGCCTCGGCCATTCGACCATGGCCTCGCGTGAGGGCGAAGTAAGCCGTTCGGCGGCTTCGTCCAAGCGCAAGTCTTCCGGCAGCGCGACCAGAAATGAAAGTGAACTTCGCCTACAAAAACAGCCACAACAGCAACGAGAAGCTGGATAGAAGTGAACAAGCAAGGATCGATTGATTTTGAAGGCAGATTGAAGCTATTTCACGATGTTCTCAGTCATCGTGATCAGATGATTCACAACATAGAACTTTACCCCAATCAACACTTTGAAGAATATCAAGAACATGTCAGCACTGAAATGGAGTACATGAGGGCTTCCCTATCCAATACATCTACTATGCTGAATGAACAATCCCAAGCACTTGTTGAGGCTCATCTCAACGATGAAGGTTCGATGATGAGGATCATCGAGCCTGGGAGATGTGGAGAGCTGGCAGAACAGGGCACTGCCCACATCATTCAGGAGAGCATTGCGATGACGGAACGCTATCACTCCGAGTGGGAAAGTACGTCAAGCTCGACAAACGAGGCAGACTGACCGTATATCGTGTTGGCCCCGACGGTCGCAAAGAAGTACAAAGATCACCAAGGCCAAAGAGTAGCTTTACAGTCCTGAAGAATGGAGAGCATTATCTGCTAAGGAGAGAGACGTCATTATACGTCGTGGCAAGCTTGAGGCTGAGGATGAGAAACTCAAGGAGGTCAAGTTGAAGAAAGAGAAGGAGAAGAAGGTCAAAGCCGAAGCTGCCGAGAAGAAGAAGTCCGACGTGAGTTCACACAATGACCCACCCAAAGATGAAGATGGGAAAAATAAGAAAAAGAGAAGTAAGATATTGAAGGAGAGTTCGGGCAAAAATGGCAGCAAGGACGCTGCCGTTGGGATGGGAAGAACTGAAGGGACTGAACCGGACCAAAATGGATTTAGATGAAGGGGTACGCCGGACGACGGGCTCTGGATCCGAAGATCACAACAAGTTCGAGAAGTACTACACCGCCTCTCCATCGACACCCAGCGAAACGAGCACCAACATCCCAAGTGATGATGATGGCCAAGAGTTCCTGAATGATTGGGATGAATGGTCCGAACATGAAGTTGGAAATGGACCAAAAGCTCGCTGGGAAGACATCCGCTATGACTTCAATACTGGGAAGATGTCACTCCTGCTAATGCTGCACCAACGGCTCATACCTCAAGTGACTCCGATGGCAAGTCCAAGGTCAACCACATCGTGAAGTCAATTCCTTGCATGCCTTGTGCTCACCAAGACTTTGAGCATCGCGAGAAGTTCGGTCAAAGTGATATGAGGTTTGGGAAGATGTTCAACGCGATGGTCTCAAGGCCAGTCGGCCGCAAGGAGATGATGGAAGACCCGGATGCTAAGGCTTCAATGAGGAGTGAGTGGTTGGGTCAGCACGAGCAAGGGGTGTACGATTTCCCCATTGTTCGTGAATACGGCGATGTTGTTGGTGAAGCCAAAAGAGAAGGCAAAGAAGTTCACATGGCACGAGTTCACGGCATTTGTGTCGAGAAGAATTACCTTCGGAAGCCCCTGGAAGAAAGTTCAAAGGTCGAGGCGTTTTACTTGGGAACCAAGTGAAGAACCAGCATTGGGAGGCCGCATTCTTTCAAGATCTCGGCAACTCTCCAGCTACGTTCGAAGCTTCCCGATGGGCAGACTTCTATGGATGCATCCCCGGGCATAACGTGAAGTTGGCAGATGCCATTCAAGCCTACATCCAAGGGAGGCTCACGGGACCTCCTTGTTATCGATACCCGGAAGTTCAGACGGCCGGTAGTGCGACTTGTCAAAGCACTTTATGGTCATCCTGATGCGGGCACAATGTGGGAACAACATTGTGATAATTTCTCATGTTCGAGAAGTTGAATTTATGCCAGTTGGGGAAGAATGGCCTTCAATGTGCTACCATCAAGAACTGAAGTTATTTTTGGTAATCTATGTCGACGATTTGAAGTTGGCAGGACCGTCACAGAACCTCACCAAAGGTCGAAAGTTACTGAGGTCCAAGTTAAGACTTGAACCCGAAAGTGATTTGGGTCTGTATCTTGGTTGTTTGCTGAGCAAAGGAACCAATCGCCTGCATGATGGCACAGAGGTCACAACCCTGACCTGCATATGGAGGGTCTACTCAAGCTCTCTATTGACAAGTATGTAGAACTTGCGGGGAAAGATGCGAAGTTGAAACAGGTTTCAACCCCCAGTCCCCCAGAAGAGACAAAACAACATAAGTCTCGAGCACCGCCACCTGGGGATCCAAAGCATGCAGTTCAATGTCCCTGGTGATCCTGGATTGTCGGTTGCCTTACAGCCCGATGCCTCTGATTCTCGGCCGGAATCCGTTCAAGTCCAACAAGGTGGACTTGCCCCTCATGCTGCTAGCATTCTGATGAAGCTTTTGTACGCAGCAAGGATCGCCCGATTTGACTTGTTAAGGTCAACCAACACATTAGCACGACATGTGACATGTGACAAAATGGTCAGTACAAGATGATGCAAAGTTATACCATCTTATTATGTGCTATGCCAACTCTACCTTGGGGAAGAGGATGATTGGATGGGTCGGAAATGACATGAAAGACTGGTCCATGGCGTGCGATGGCAGTGGCGGAACCGAGGGTGACGTCAACATGGACAAGGATGAAATTGATCGTCTTGTCAAAGCGACCAAAGCAAAGACGGAGGCTCAGGGAAATGAGGATGTGGACATGACCGGCGCGTCTTCAAGCGGACCAGCATCTTATGGCAATGGTCAACCTTCACGGCCCACACCAAAGCCGAAGACCACGCTCGAGGCCGCCGAGAAGGAGAAGAAAGAAGCTGAAGACGAACGGCAGGCGGAAGAAGAGGAGGAAGAGAACAAACGGCAGGAAAACGCGCAAAATGCCAGCGTGGGCCACAAGGATGGTACCTGGGTGCTTGATGCACTGTGTTGATGTCTGTCACGGAAAACGAGGATGCCATCGGCTCCTCAGCCTGCGCCATGGACCACATGATTGTCACCCACCTGAAGGCCCGATACCGTATGTTCTACATGGTCACTACGCCTATGCAGTCCTGTGTCGACCTCGTCAAGAACAGCACGACCATTCCCGAGTACGACACCTACATTCCATGTGTCGGTGAAGATGAGAGTGGTGAATTTCGTGAACCCACGAAGGATGAGTATGTGGCAGCGTTTCATCGTCTCAGCAAGAACAACATATTTGGCGGTCGAGACCTTAACATGTATCTCAAGGGCATCGATGGTACAAAGTTCTTTTGCAAGATCATGAAGTACCTGATCCAAACTGCTGTGACACCACTGCAGTTCATCAACAACAAGCTCACTGATCTGGCAGAAGCTGATGATGACAATAAAGCCGAGACAAGACGTGAAGTCACGGACTTCATCAAGAAAATCATCGCTGGAGCGTTCACAGTCCGAACCTACGACTATTTCCGAATGGCCCCTCCAGATCGAGATGATCATCTTCATGTTGATCCTATCGCACTGACTTGCGCGGTACTCGACCGAGCAAGAACTTCTGCGGTGATGCTGACTCTCAACAAGATCGGCCTGGACATGCCAGCCGGCCTCGTTGAGGCCTGGGAGAACAAGATGAAGTCCTCCCGGCAGAGCGAGATGCAGTTGGAGAACAACATCAAGTCGCTCGATCCTGCAGATCGTGATGACGCGAGCGAGTTTGTGAAAGCGGTCGAAAATGCTCCTGACAGATCTGGCTACGCAACGTCTGGTCAGAGCGGTTCTGCGTCTAACAATCAAGAAGCCAGCAAACGCAGACGATCCAGGTGAAGATGGTTTCCTCCGGAAGGGCTACTGAGAGTGGCACGAGAGCCGGGCCAATTCGACTCTTATATATGTTTGGCAAATTTTCCACAATGACTTCCAACGTAATTTTCCTTCTTTATCCCAATATGAACTGAAGTTGGTCACTTGAGATGTGTCAGTCCCAGTTTGTTTAAGCTGCGAATGTACAGAATTGTGCGTGAACCGACGTGAGACATCGTCAGCGTCGGGAATCGTGCATGCCGGTAACGACGAACCAGCGGTGAACTGCGTAAGACATTCGTCTGCGCAGGAATCCAACGGATAGTCACGCCAGTGTACATAGGCTGGGAGAACAGCTAGACCATCGTCTCACACGCGGTCTATAGCTTTTGGGGGGACTGACACCAATCAATTAATCAGTGTAGATTTCAATTAATTCGAAGGGTTGAACTTTAAAGCCTGGCATTTGCTCCTGCGTCTGACAGCTGGAATCTGTCAGGCGTGGGGGGTTTGAATAGAATTTCAGCCAGGTGCAACCCTATCAACTATGTATATAGAGCATGGTAGAATGGGCCAGCTGTGGGAATCGCAATCATTCCTTATTCCCCGCCGCTCCGGCTCAAGACAACACGCTCTAACGCCAAAGGAAAGTGGGCCTTGCGCTGCGTGGCTGACAGGTTGGGAATCCTTGAGGACTTCTATATCTTCTACACGTATAGGATTGGTACTACAAACCACACACACACGCATATATATATATTTAAATATTATCTATATATATATATATTTAAATATTATCTATATATATATATATCATAAAATGGATTAAAAATGGCATGTATCGTGTATGTGCAGACACAAAATTACATTTACATTTGCATTTACATATGAATATGCGTCCATACACAGTTACATTACACACATATGTTTATGAGTATATATATATAAATAAATATATATATATAAATATATATATAAATATAAATATAAATATAAATATGCATATAAATAGGTATGTACACACACACACATATATATATATATATATATATTTGGAGTACATATCCTTTAACATACGCACACCTATTTTATGATGTGTGTTTGAGATTGAGGAAATATCGTTTGGAGCTGGCGAATTTCTCCATCCGAGCCGCTGAGCTCAAAGGCCTCCTCCGCCATTTTTCAAAGACCTGTGGGGCCTGGCTCGGGCGCCAGGAACAGAAGATCGATGTGTGGTCATGAAAATTGCCAACGACAGGCAGGGGATTTCGGTGGTGCACTGCAGAACCAGTCCAGTTTGATTCTTGTCGCAGGTTCATAGACTTTATCAAGAAGAGCCAGCGCGAAAAGGCATTTTTGCAAGCCTGCCGGTTGCAAGCCTTGGTGTGTCTCTCAGCCGAGCGAAACGGCAGTTTCGGCCGAGTTGAGTGACTTTTCTCAGTGGTATCGTTGCTGAGGACAAGCAGCAGATCGTCAAAGGTCTTATCATGGACTTGCTCCAAAGATGGTCAATTGAAGAGCAAAATGAGCAACTGCGAAGAGGCCAGGCGACATGATGCGATCAATCAGTTGTTTTGCGGTCATTTCCAGCTACATTCATATTCATGAGCCTCAACCAACTTAGAGATATTAGCATCTTATAGCGCATTGATTCGTTTCTGATGTTTGTGAATCAACTCAGGACTCCTCGGTGACGCTCCAGTTGAAGAAGCGGTGGATCCAAATAAGTTCCGCTCCATGTACAATGGCGTCAAGGTCGAAGCAGCGCTCCCAAGTCCCATTGGGCTCAAAATTTAGACTCAGACACACTCCGGAGATTGCAGATGGCAATTTGACTGGAACACACTCAAGTGTGTGGTGTACAATCAAAAACTACTTGGCTTTGGTTTGGATGGTTGATGAACGTCAGAGAAAGGAGTGCAAACGACAAATCCGGACATTTGATAATATTTGATGATATTATTGGTATAAAATTGTGTCCTTGGATATTGCTCTTCCTGTGCCCTGACGGGAGGCGCACATCAGAATACGTAATGCTACGAATCTTACTTCTGGCGGATGGTTTGACAAGTTGGATCCGTATACCATCGTGCGTTTCCGCGGGAGCAAGGAGGACCTGAAGCTGCCAAACACTCCAGAAAGGGCGCAATGCCAACCCCGGAATAAACGTTCCGGATCAATAAACACTCACTATAAAATGGAGAGGTTCCTCTCAAAATAGTGATGAACCACTCCTCCCGCTATTAATAAACTGGGGGTTTATGAATCCTCATCCATTATGAAACATGGGAGCATTGGGAGCTCTTGCTGATGTGGAGATGGCCTTTGTGCCAGGAAGTCCGGACCAGTGTATTGGCAGATTCTGGAAGCGATCCAATTTGGGACTGCGAAGGCCGGCTTGGAGAACTGCCCACGAAGTATGTTTTCGAAGTGCTCCTTGAAAGCCGTTGCGTTCTGAAAAGTCCAAAGACTTGTGTGAGGTTCCATGACCTATCATGGTGAAGTGGCTCTGGAGATATCTGTTTGGGACTTTGCGCCCAGGCTGAATACTTAACGATGCTTCTCTCATCCTGCTTCACATTTGCCCTGCAAAGTCTCACATATCATTTCCCCTCTTTCCTGTGTCAGTCTTGGACGCCAGAAGGTCAGGCCCATCATTTGGCATGCCATTGCTGCTTCCATTAGTTCCCTGCTGAAACCAAGGACCGGTACAGTGCAGATAGCCTTTTGGCCACAGGTGTAGTGCAGGTGGAACAGTTCTGCAGCGGCTTTGATGGCATGATACCGCTCAGCATTGCAGGCCCTGTGGTGAGTTGTGTTTGATGTGGAGGGAGAGCATGAAAGAACCGGTCGTCATTCGGCAGATCTCAGGCAACAAGAGGAAGCGCGCCAAGAAGCAAGCCATGCTTCTTGACATGAAGAGTTCTCACAATATGTTTTCTCATGTTTTCTCTGCGCTTTACAGGAAAGAGCCGTCAGATCTTCAGGACTGGCATTCTTATTGGCTAGGGTTCTGTGGTCTAAGGATCACAATAGGAATTCTCTTCGACCGGCCGCCAGACGCAATCCTTGATCAGGACGGTGAAAGCAAGTGTCCTTGCGGTACCCATTAGTGACATGCTTTGATTTTGATGACCTCACATTGCCTCGTGGATGACACAAGGACGCGAAAGAGAATACCTTGGGAAGAACAAGCTAAGCGTGACGGCACCTTCAGCGAAATTCAGGGCTACCTGATGTGGCAGTGCCACCCACGCAAAATCATGGTACCGACCGTACAATTCGAGCAGATTGTTTAATTGGCGATCAGTCACATTCATGCTTCTGTGCGGGGGCCCCACCATCTACCTATGCATGGATTTTTAAAGTGCACAAATTGTCAGCTTGCGAAAAATGTGAGTGACACCTGCAGCAAGCAGAGCTTTAAGACGAAGCCCTGTGCAGAATGCTTTGTGCAATATTACTGATACTGTAGTTAGTTAGTGATGGGCTCGGTGTTGACTGCTGTAAGCCGATGCTCAGCCAAATCAGAAAAGGGCCTTAAAAAGGCCATTGCAGTCCAGGATTCGATGAAGCAGGGGTCAAAATACTCGTGAGAGCAAGCACTTGCCTCCATTGCATTCCTTTGCCACATATCGGTCCGCATTGCTTTTTCTCTCTGGTGCATTTGCACAGACCATGATGAACCAACACCGATTCCTTTGATCGTCCTTTGCAGAGCAAGACACTTGGTGGAAACTCCACACAGCCACGATGCCATTCAGCGGGTGCAATGAGGCCCATATCAGCGATTGCTGTGGTGCGAATTCAAGGAATGAGATATCACCTGGCAGGTGGACCAGTGGATGCGCCTTTTGGCTCTTTGCCCTTTTGCCAGGCCGATTTTGAATCAGCGTAGCTGCCCCTTCAATCCCTTTCATCCGCAGTGCCAGGACAGGCTGAGGAAGCCATCCCAGACAAAGTTGGAGTAGAGGTGCATCTCACCAAGCAGGCGCCCATCAAATGCCAGTGGAATGTTTCATGTTTCAATCATGAACCAAGTTGGCAGTATCCCAAATTTCTCAGGAGAGGACGGCTCTAAAGAAGTTGGAATGCAGCATGTGCAAAGTCATCATCAGTGGGAGTCTCAAGTGGAGAAGCAGCAACAGGCTTAACACTACTGCTGGCAGTTGCATGTCCAACCCATTGCAGACCAAGGTGAGATGCACACAGAGGTGACGCGTCACAGCATGACAGCCAAAGGTCTTGAACTCGGAAGTCATGGTCTGGAGTATTCCGGAATGGGTTAGCAGTTTAGTGGCCCTGGCTTGCAATACCTTGCAATGCCCCAGTCAATTTCCAGAGGTGCTGGCTCTGAAGAGCAAGTTTGGGAGACCTCAAACGCGATGTGCCTTGCTTTACTGCAGCTTCTTGGACTGCCAATGGACAATGGAACTTGAAATCTACAAAACCCAACTGGTTTGAAAATTGTTGGACTGGATAGATCTGGATAGGACCATCCGGCGAATTTCGACATGCCAAGGAAGTACGGGCTGAGATTGGGTGAAACTCCCAGCCTGGAGAAGAAGGCCGAGGATGACGAAATGGCGCCACTTTCCCGCACCAAGACTTTGCTGAAATGTTACATCTGAGATTCATCTAGATTATGGCCAGGAAGATATTCTTCGTGTATGGCGTCTCGCTTCATGGTTGGGGTATCTTCCTCTTGAGGTCCCAGTTTGGTTACTTTACTACTGGTGAAACCGACTGAGGCTGGCAGCAGCTGCTCAAGCCGGTAGACAACAAGAATTCATGCGAGCGATGTTGGTTCTGAAGATGGGGTGCCAGCAATGGCTGGAGGATTATGGTGGTGATACGTCTGGGTTTGTGTACAAGTCTGTCAAGGACCCATTGCTTCATTGTGCCATTTTGTTCATTTGCCATGATGTGGTCACAATGTGGTGACTGGCGGTCTTATTCTCATGTGTCATGATGTGATTTTTTTCCGATTTGTTGCAGGAAGGGTCGCAATCCCCAGCTGGAGCAGCACAGGAATTCTGCGTAAGATCAAGGCTTTGTGGAAAAGCCAAGGTTTGCGCTGGAATGCTTGTGCTTCTAGTGGAGTCGTCCAAGCTGTGAGACTGGTGCCTTTGTCCCGGGCAGGAGCGGAAAAAGAAACAGGATGCAAAAGAGAAAGAGCGTTTGAAAAAGAGCAGCTCAGCAAGAAGTCGGAACTCAAAAATTCCCACAGTCATGTGCATGTTCGATCATGAATCACGTGCGTGCAATTTTTATTTACATTTTTTTCACTGTTTTTCCCAGGGATGAAGATGGCAGAGGAGGCTGAGAAGAAAGAACAGGAGAAGCGCAAAGAGGATCCCATGAGTTCGTTGCCAGAGGACTCAAAATTCGGCATTCAGCGCATGCTCGAGATGGCCCGTGATGATCCGTTGCACTACATGGACGAGGAAGCCCAAGAACGCGTGCACAAAGCTCGGGGTGACTTGCGCTGCCCAGTTTGCAGCAAGGTCTTGGAGGAAGCTTTTAACGTGCTGAGCACGAGGCCTAAAAGTCTCCAAAGTGAACATGATATACTCACTGTAATGGAAAAGATGTGCACTGGTGGTCCTGACCTATCAATGCCCAGCTATTTTGGTGTGGAGCCTCCACCCTTAGCTGCAGAGTGGACAGATCGATGGCGGCCGAAGCTTGACAAGAAAAGCGGCCGCTATTCTCTGAAGCCTTTTGGAAAGGGTGCGAAGGGACGACAAAAGTGGCGGAAATTGTCAGAAGAAGGCAAGCAAAAGCCTTTGGGAATGGAAGAGAATGAGCAAGTCGTGGGCTGAGTCTTGCCATGGCAGCCATGGATTCAAGAACTCAAAAGTGGCCGTTATGTTATCAGACAGACTTATAAGTCTTGACGGCAGTTGTGTACTGGATGGGATGCCGCACAGAAAAGCCTAGGACATGATTTTGACAATGACTTGCAAGGACCTCCGTTTGAAGATCTTGAAGTTTGCCGTTTGCCTTTTTTTTTTGTTGCTTGTGTTGAACACCCTTGAGATCATCTTGGGATCCCCAGGACGTTCTCGAGCCTGAGCGGTTCTCTGAAAGTCTTTTTCAGCACATGGCCTCTTGCGAGGTCTTGGGTCTCAGTCGGTTCAATTTCCGCTTAAGCGCAGTCGGGCAGTCGCAGTGGGGACACTTGGCAGGTGATCTCGGGATGCAGAGCAGCAAGCGCAGCTGCCAATGATGCCACCCAGCTGAGTATGCTGAGACGATTCACACATCGTGGCTTTGATTTTTCATGTTACCCTGTTACCCTCCAGTAGCCAAACATGGCAATGGAACCCCCATGTACAGATGATTTTCTCATGATTTTCCCATTTAAATCTCCATTCATAGGGGATTCCGGGGATTTTCCATTGCCATTTTTTTATTACCGAAGGGGTAAGCCGCCGAGGTTTGCCGAGGCGCAGGCGGTGAGCCCTGCGGAGCAATGGCCTGAGTTGTGCGGATGTGGGACCAATGGGACCCACATGTTTTTCACATCTTTCCTCCATGTTTTGCCGTCTTCTTATGGGCAAAGATACCAGGATTCCAAGTCGGAGTTGTGAGCAGCTTGCTAGTGAGATGATTGGACGTAGAAGATCTTAGCGCCACCAGTGCCGCGAACAACGCGGTCGCCTGATCGGCGGTTAAAAAAACAAAACTGCAATGAACGCAGAAAACTTGGAGAATTGAGAGTTCTCAGGAGATGGATTCTGAGATATTCTGAGTATGGTACAATGAGATTTAGCATGGCAGCGCGAATCCTTGATCGTGTGAACGTCCTTTTCCGCCACCGTGTCGGCTAGAGAGTCTTCGTTGGGCTGCTTGCTTGCTGCCCTTTCTGTTTGGGCCTCTGAAGATCTCACGGATTGATTGCAAGTCACTTGAGCAGTTTTAACTCATGGGTGCTTTGTATGTATGAAGTGATGCTTGCTGCTGTTCACTGTGCTTCAAGGGATTTCATGGTGATAGTCATGAGCAACGGGAATTCTTGGTGCACTAGTACAAGCTCCGCCCCTTTCACTGCCTGTTAATTACTCAGCGAGGCGACTTGTCATGGCGGCCTCTTGGCTTCAACCAGCGATTTCCAGAAGTGACGGCAATTGCGAGTGCCATGACGGCAATGTGGAACCTGATCCCCAAGGAGAGAGTGGGTATCGCATTGGGCGGTGGCGCGGCCGCTTCAAAACCAGCAGGGTCGCGAGGCGTCACCTCACATTTGTATAGGTATATATATATATACACACACCAGTACATATTATGTGTATGTGTATTTGTTTTTGCACATACATACTTTATATATATAATTATATATAGAATTATATATATATAATATGTATATAATTATATATATAATATGTCTACATAGGTAACTGTGCATCTAAATACAAAGAGAGAGATTGCTCAGAATGGACACAGATGTATGGTATATACTTTGTTGATGCCAGGTGCTCGGGGACACAGACTGATGGTGCCTCCACCTGGGTACAAGTTCATCCCTCGGACCGAGCGTTGCCTGCCTGTTGGAGGAACAACAACTGTGTATATATATATATACATATAAATATAAATAAATAATAAATAAATAAATAAATAAATATATATAAATAAATACACACACATATATATATAGATATATAATTGTCGTGCCACAGCCATGATTTTCAATCTTGGAGCTTGCTGCTCTTCCCCCCAGCCAGGCAAGTTTGCCAAGAAATGGGGTGCTTTGAATGCTACGACATTTATTGTGAGCGGTGTGAATCAAAGGACAGCTGTCACCAACTGCTGTTTGAAGCTGATAGCCTTGTCCCAGATCTGACTATTCATGACTTCTTGAAGGGTTGGACAATCAGTTGCTCACAGGACCGTCGCATCATTGAACTCGAAATGCGGAACACCGAGCTGGCCAGGGCTTTAGCTGGGCTGTGGACGGCATCGACATGTGCAATAGAAATGTTGCGCACAGAAATGGTTTGAGGTGAAACACATCACCTTGCTTCAGGCAGGACCTTGTAATTAACCTGAATTGTGGAAATAGAGCTCCCATCCAAAGTGACCTGCCCAAAGTGACAAGCACAGTGGCAGCATTTGAGAGGCACGCCTCTTCCCCCGCGATGGTCAAGCTCCTGTCGCCGGCCGTCCTGCAGGTGGTGGAAGTGGTGCAGGCACAGCGCATGAAACCAGGGACATACCGAGGACTTGTTGACGCCATGGCTTGAACGGCTGCATGTTGCCGTCCTGTGAGGCGGGGAGTCCTTTGCATACGTGCAGAGTCCAGTAACTTGTCAGACCTTGTCCCGAGATGTTGTCCCGACATGTCCCGAGCACTTGAGATTCCATCTGCTACCTGAGGTCATGTACGATCCGGGCATGGGCATCCAGTACCAAGCCACAACTACATTTAGTGCTGCTGGTGCTGCGTCAGGAAAACCATAGGCCATAGCTTGTGAGTGCAAGGAGGTCAGCTCATTGGCCTGTTGGTGCAGAAACTACCAGGTTCACCCCCCAACAATAAGGCTTTATTCCAGGTTTATTACCTTCTATGAGGGGCTTGCAGCCAATCCTGAAGGATTTTCTGTTTTGACGCCCTGTCGATGCTTGATGCTGACCTCAGAGAAGCAAATCTCAGTGATTTGCCCTTTGGCTACGAGCTGTGAGAACCAAGCCCTGCCTCCTGAGGAGGCAGGCCAGCGCAGAAATCGCCTGCCGTTCTCGCAAATAGTGATGCTGTCTGAAGAGAGGGCCTACCACAGATGGCCAGTTGATTTTGCAGAGAAAAATGTCAGCGCCCGAAGCAGTCATTAAATCCGTGAAGCATTTACCTCCGGATCGCAGATGATCAGGGTTGTGCGTGTTTTTTTTCATGCTTTCCCACTTCACGCTTCACGCCCTTCACATTTTCTTATTGCTTGCAATGCTTCGGGTAAGTTAACTTAGATAATTACATAATCTTACACCATGCGTCTCCTATGCATGGACCTTGAAGGCCTTGGCTCTAAAGGTTCAAGGTTTCTGCCGTACCTTCCAATGGCTGCCCAGGAGCGCAGCACTCGCCTTGCTGCTGAGCCCTCCGCAGTTCCAGTGGTTGTCCCCGCATCACGTGTCACAGAGACTCAGAGTGGGTTGGCAGCAACTTTATCGCAGCCAAGTTGGGTAACCGCGGTTACCCCAGGTCCGACAGGCCCAGCTTCACAATCCTCCCGTGTGGCATCTCCTCGGGTTTTGTACCGAGATGTGTCTCCAGATCGGATCGTTTACCGGGATAGCAGTGCAATCTCTCCCGCCCTCAGATCCTGGGTGGAGTGCCTGGTGGACAACCGGGTCGACCAAGCTGTTCGTCAGTTGCAAGATGGCAACTTTGCAATTCTTCTCGAGCAAACTCGGAGAGATGCAAATGCACTTTCACAAAACACCACCCTGGCTATGCAGCAGTCTGAAGAGGCTCGGCGACGCCTGGAGTCTCATGTGCGGTCGCTTGGTGAAGGACAATCTCGCCTGATGGCCATCGTTGAGAATCTGTCTGGGGAGACCGACCGGCAACATTCTTCCAGCAGCCAGGCGAAAGCAGAAGCTTTGGCCACGGTGGAGAGGGTGGTGTCGACCGTGGAGGAGCTACGCCGCACCATGGAACAGGATGGAGATGTGGTGACTGCGCGGCTGCGAGAGCATGGCTTGGCCATTGATGAGTTGCGCAGGACCATGGCCGAGGACTTTGCTCGTCTGCGGGCCACCACGGCAGATTTACAGCGACAGGGGGCTGAGGCGACCTCTCGGCAGCGTCAAACCCATGACGAATTCGCCACCACAGCGGCATCTGTGGCTGCGAGCCGTCAAGAGCTGGCTGAGTTGGCCCGTTTGGTGCAAAACTTAGACAGAAAATTGGCAGGTTGGAAGAGTGAGGTGAAGGTGGAAGTCCTTGATGAAGTGGCGAAAAACGCCACCAATGATGGGGACAGATTGAAACTTGATGCGTTGCATAGAGAAATTTCTCAAATGGCTGCCACGCGGATCGATTTAGAGGCGCGAATTGAACGGGTCAAGGTCGAGATGTCGACCATGGGAAAGACGAAGCCAGAAGTCGAGAACCGTCTCCGTGACATGGAGCAGACTTTGGCCAGGCGATTGAAGGAGGTGGAACTTGTTTGTGACAACCTGCGGTCTGAAGTTCATACAGCTACCTCGGCAAGAGTGGAAAACTTGGAAGTGAGAGCACAGGAATCTCAACAAAGCTTGTCTCGACGCTTCGAGGCACTACAAGTAGCTGTGGGGGAAGACGTCGAGTCAACCCGACTTGAACTCAAGAAGTTGTCATCGACACTAATCAGGCTTGAAGATCAACACGGCTCTGTCCGGGAAGAGATCTCAGCAGAGGTTCGTGCAGCCAGAGCTGCCCTGTCTGATTCTCGCTATGATGAAGGGCCTTTGCGGGAAACTTTGCGCTCAGAGTTCATCCAGAAAGTCAACGAGGTGGGAGGCAGACTAGAACAGCTGGAATTTGAGCTCACAAGCACCAGGGCCACACGTGAGAGCTTCGAATATCGAATCCGTGATGCCACCACGGAAGCGCAACAAAATGTGGAGCGCTTGAAGGCGGATTTGAACTCCCTACGTGCCATGGTGAAACAGGAGCAAAGTTCTGTGGCAGCACTGGATGAACAGCTTTGGATGACCGACCAACGGCTGGGGCAAAGGATCGATGAAGCCCTCGGCCTCCTGGAACGCGAGCGCCTGGCTTCCGTGGCCTTGGCCGAGGCGGTGCGAAAACCCTCGAGCTCGGGACAAGTCTCCCCCAACCGAGCCAAAAGCCCCAGGGGCTTGGCCATGGCGCGCCGAGCAGCTCGCCGTTGATATAAATAGCTTCTGTTTTTTTTCTCATAGTTTATCCATGTTTATCCATCTTCGCCCAAGCAAATGAGCAAACCCCAGCAGACCGAGAAATCTCAGGGCTTTCGGGACAGAGAGTAATTAATGGTTTTTGGTGGCGGGTGTTGCAAAACATGGTGCGTTCTTTGAAGCTGGCTGCCCGGCAGGCAGCTGAGACTTTCGCGGCTTCAGTGGACGGAGAGGCTTCAGAGCACAGCGCAGCTGGCAGGAGAGGGTCTGGCCTTTCAATGGCACGAGAGGCAGTGGACTCAGTTTCTTGCGCATTCCAAACAATGAACCGCATTCGAATGTCAAACTCAACTTCTGTTTGGGATGGTTCTTTCGGAAAAGTTGGAACCCAAACTTGCAGCATCTATTGGAAGTTGTACCTCATGCAGTTGAGTATGAAGCTCCGTTGTGACTAGGAACCCCATCCCCCCATCCAAATGGATCCGAATCCCACAGCTCTGAGGCGGCAGAGACCTTTGCTGCACATGGAGGGATAGCTGCAAGTCGTCTCAGTGACAGGAGGCTGTAGGCCCCAGCCGAAATGTTTGCCAATTTGCTTTGTCATAATCAGGGTGCAGTCAAACATCAACAAACATAATCAACCATTATCAACCGTCATTAAACACTGTCAGCGATCATCAAAAATACAAACTCAGCAGGATTATTATTGGGAAAACCCTAGCATGTATCCCTTGAGCGAAGCAGGATAGCAGGATATCATAGACACGGGTTGTTATTCACGTCGCTTCGCGACGGCAACCGCCCGCACCGCATCGTTGGGCTCACACAGCAGAGATATATCTATATATATATAAAGATCATATATGTACATATCGAGTGAACGGTCCACACTGTTAATGATGTCAGCCATTGTTCTCTTCTACTGCCATTGTTCTCTTCTATTGCCGTCGCTCCGCGACAAGAACCCCTGTGCGGCCGCCACGGTTTGAACGATGTTGTTCTCACACCTTCGCGACCGCTCGTAACTGCCAATGATGTCGGCCATTGAGACCAAAAACATCCGAAAGTACTGATTGTCGGAAAAAAAAACGCGAAGAATTTGATAGCCATGTATAGCGGACCAACGCAGTTCAAAAAATAGCGAAAAACATGAAAAAACGGCGAAATTGCTGTTATTTACAGTGTTTTTGCGCGGTGAGAAGCAGAAACCACTGCAAATACCATGGTTTTTGAGGGTCAGGTGGCCAAAAACACTGTAATTTACAGTGTTTTTTTAACCAACGTCAAAAAACACTGGTATTTACGATGTTTTCATTCACACCGTAACATAAAACAGCGTAATTTACGAGGTTTTTGGAAGTTTTGAAGCTAGCCGTCAAGCATGCAGAAAACAGAAAAACACTGTAAAAACCAGTGTTTCTGCTATCACAAAACGACGAAAATCAGTCCGAAAACGGGTCCAAAAACTCAAAAATCCGCCTCCGGGCCAGGCCACCTGCGGAACCGCAAAAAAAGATGTTGCAAACCAAAAAATTGAGGTCAAAAAGTTGAAAAACACGGGTTTTTTTCACTTTTCGCTTGCCGATTTTGGACGGGCGCGTTCACGAACAGGTGTCTTCCGTACTGTTTTTTACAGTGTTTTTTGAAGGCGAGCGTCACGACCTATCAAAAACAGGAGGTTTTGGCCGAATAATGGCCCCCCCCCCCAGGTAAACCTGTAACCTTTTACGAGTGCCATCCGGACGATCACGCCCCAGCACCTTCGGTGCGGGCGGATTTCAAATTATTTCTGTTGTGCTTTACTTTAGTATCTTTAGTCCAACAGGTGCAGTGAGCACCTGCAAAACGCAGAACTCCGTGCCAATTCAATTCAGAGCAAGCTTTCACTCGTCATGGATGTGATTTCGGATGAATTTGCAGATGTATGGCGGCCCTGTATGGCGGCAAGAAACTGGGGGCCACTGCGAAGGGACGGACTTACTCGCAAATTGTATCAAATCTAATTCAAAGTGTATCTAATTATGGCATCACAAAGCTTGATGAAGGGTTGTGTTGCTATGGTATGGTGCTGTGCCTTTTCATTGGTTCTCGCAATTCGTTTTGACATGTTTTGAAGGCATGTTTGCCTTGAGTTCCTGGCACCAGCAAGCCGGCAGTCTGAGTAGAAAAGTCACAGATCATGGAGACATGCAACTTGAATCCTTGACTCATTGAAGTCATTTGGGGGAACACTGAGAGCAGACGCATGCAAGACCAGGCAGAAAAACACCCGACAAACTGTGTCTCAATCGTTTTCGCTTTTTCTATTTGAGCGAGCGCAGCAATGCTTCCGCAGCATTTCGATCTCCTGAAGGGCCAGATCCTCAATTTGTGCTTGTAATTGTAGTTTTGAAGTGTCACTGTGTATTGATTGATACTCTGATAGACTCTGATTTTTAACCTTAGATGAGGCCTTGTCAACCCGAATTATGTAGAGCAGGGGGCGCAGGCCTGAATCATTTCCTGATTCTCGAGTCTCGTTGCCAAGAGACTGACTTGCCCTATGCCCGCAGGCAAGGAACTCGCGCTCCAAGCATTTCACGGCTCTGTTTACGTTTCCCCGGCATGTGCCGTTCTTTCAAACCGAGACTTTCGTGCTGCCATTTTGCTGGTTTTGGATCTCGTTTGCCAGGCAGCGTCGCCTACCAGATGTTGGCTGGAAAGAGGCCGTGAGAATTTGCAAGATCTTTCAGAATGTTTCAGAATGTTTCAGAATGTTTCAGAAACTGTGCTGCCTGTTGCCCTTCCCATGTCTTTCCATCCTTTCTTTCAGAGTTGCATCCTAGGATGACATCAAATCCTTGCTGGACGAAATGGCGCCAACAACCGAGCTGCTCTCACTCGACCAGAAAGTACAACAGACCTCTTCATCAAACCCTGGAAACCTAGTCATTTTGTCAGTGAAGAATGGACTCATTTGACTAGGCGCATCTTTTTCTTCTTATAACTCTGGGTAGATGGAGATGTGCTGCTGGGTGTATGTCTGACCTCCATGTCTCATTTGAACATTTCTGATGTCGGCACAGTGATTTTGGATCAGCAGCTCTGCTGCATTGAGCTTTTTGAAATCATGCTCTTGATAGGACGCTGGGTAGAGCACTGTCCCCAACCAAAACCACTTGGAAATGCAGCCTAGCCTACAGATTGAAGACACTGACTGTGCATGTCAGTCATTGACAGTCAAGGAGGTTGGAATGCATTCGAATCAGACACGCACACACACACACAGACAGACAGACACTCTCCAAACATCTCAAACCTCTAGCTTACTCTAGCTGCCAGAAAGTAATGATAGTAATGTGCTCAGTTGAGCTTTGGTGCTTTTCTTCCTCATATGGATGCGGTCTCTGAAGGATGGACTCCGAGGGTAAAATCACAACGGACAGCGTGCCAGTGACAGAGACCCGGTCTCCAGCTGGACAAGGTGAAGATGGTGAAGCTGATGCACCTGTGGCAGATCCGGCTGTGCAATGCCGAAAGAGAAAGAAGAAAAAGATAAGGCAAAAGCAGAGCATTTCTCTCGCAGCAGGGGAGCTGTCAGCAGGTACAGAGGACATGAAAGATGTGCCTGCAGTCACGGATCAACCCCCGGCAGCTGAAGGGGTGCCTCCCAAACTGAGGAAAAAGAAGCGACAACTGCAAACAGAAGCACAGTTGACTGAGGCGCACTCTCTGCCAAGCATAGCTGAAACCACACCCTCGCAGCTCAATGGCGAGAACCTGCCAAAGGAAGAGAGTGAACCTAAGACTGATCAAGTTGGCAGCAAACTGGCGAAGAAAAGAAAGACAAAGATTCTTCAGAATGACGATGTGGTTGAGGATCAAAAGGGATCGTCGGACAAAATTGCAGTTCAAAATGAAGCGCTGCAAGATGGAGCTCAAAGCGCGGATGCCACAAACAGCGGTGCAAACACAGACCCTGAGTGCCTAAAGGTCTGTGCTGCGAATCTCCCGTACTGGTTTGACAAGACGAGGATTTGGCGACATTTTCGGCGAGCTGGAGAGGTACAACATGTTTGGCTGTTGTGGGATAGGTCTGGCGAATCACGAGGCATTGCTTTCGTCACTTTTGCAGACAAAGCCTCCGTGAAAGCTGCACTGGAGTATGACGGAACAAGCTTGGCTGGGAACGTCATACGCGTGAACCTGGCAACTGACAAAAGCGGAGACGACTCCAAAGCTGAGGCTAGTTCTGCTGCTTCCGCTGGTTGGGGTGGAGGAGGAAGCTGGGGTACTCAGAGCATTCAGGAGAATCCTCGCTATGGACAGAACAAAGTACCCGGAAAAGGGAAATCAAAAGGAGGCAAATCGCGACCTGCCCCAGGCGCACTTGCGCTGGCAGACAAACCCCAAGGTTCCCTGGGCCTGATGGCACGTGGGCTGGCCTTCAGTGTGACCGAAGCAGATTTGAAGAGTCTCTTCGAAAAATGCGGCTCTGGCCCTACACGGGTCAGGGTCTTGGTTGACAAGGTGACAGGAGAGTCCAAGGGCAAGGCTTTCATCGATTTTGCAGATGAAGAAGCTCTCAAGCAAGCGGTGGCACTGAACGAAACGGTGCTGAAGGGGCGACCCCTACGTTTGGAGTTCTCTCGCGCTGCGGAATAGTTGCCCAGTAGCAGGAGCTATGCAGAAACTTGCCTGTGCCATTTTTTGTCCATCATGGATTCTTGCTGACTGCTGTAACTTGAGCACTGGCTGATGGAATATGACAGTTTGTCATGCAGTTGGCCGCAAGTCACACGTAGCATTGACTACTTGGCACGGCTCTTGACCGCGCATCACAGAACAGGCAATGTACAGAAATGCTTGCCGCGAGATGGCACAGCGAGTGCCAGAGGTAGAATCAAAAGAATCCTCAATTACACAGGCAATGCTTTTTTTGGCTGTCGGTTTGGTTGGCCTTGGATGGAATCTGAATCAGACTTGAGTCGTCCTTTATTTTGACCCCATGGCACTGTGTCCAAGGTCCTTTGACACCAACAACTTTGAGGAGCCTGCCAAACGGCAGCCACTATGCTCCTAGGGCTGTGCTGATTTTCAGTGTTGCTTAGCCAAAGCTGCAGGGCAACGTTGGAGTTGGCGAAAGAGAAGGCCCGCAGGGCCTTTGCTCCTGGTCCAATTCCTTTCTTATCTTTCTTTATTGAGCTTGAACATTCTGAGCCGTGTCCTGTGCACCAAGACGCTCAGGCCGTGTCATTTGCGACATGGTTCGGCGGAGGCATTTTGGTCTGACGCACGGTGACCCACGCAGAGCCTTGCATTGTGCAGAGTTATCAGGAGATTATGGTTTGATCTGCTACATTTGGTGCATCTACTGTAGAGTAGGTATTGGCAGAAGTGGAGACGTCATGGTGGTGGCCTGAAAGCTTTGTGGTGCCCACATTGTCATGCAATGTACCATTTTATCAAGTACTCACAGCATGCAAATGAGTCCCTTATTGTAGTCTCGCAGGCAGAACAGCCCAAAGCAGCAGGCTCTTCACTTCTTGTGCAGCTGGAAACTTGGTGATGTGGATGTTTGAAGAAGGTTCCCCTTCCAGGGACCTGGTTGTCCCATAATCTTGGACGGTTCAGATGTTTGGCTGAAATTGAAATTGCTCAGGTTGACGCGATACTTGGCACTGGATGCAATTCGGTTGTCTGGGCTGGAGCCCTTGTTCCTGCAACACCCCAACTCTTCGCTTTGCCGCGATGATGCGCGGTCTTGCTGAGGATAAAGGCTGCCAAAGCTTGTGCAGTCTTGCCTGCAGCCACAGGCCGGCTGCACCATTTTCCGACTTGGAGCCATCAAGCTGAAGCCGCAGGACTCACCATGACCTTGGTCTTCCTGGCACTTAGACAGATGAGGCACCCTTGTGATCCTCATGACCTTCCCGTCATTTGGACATATTTGGATATTTGGAAGGGAGACTGGCAATCATAGCCAGGCCTCAGGGGAAGTATGTGGTGTGGTCGAGGCTGGACACAGCTTAATCGCGCTACAAGACATGCAACACGAGACTTGAGATATCTGGGGATGTGATCCTAAGAATCTGAGAGGATCTCACAAGAGGTTCGGTGGAGCCAGACAGCCGTCCGACCGCAACTGCTAGGATAGATCAGAAGTCCTGCTTCAAGGCCAGGACATGCAGCAGCTGTCTCCACTGATACTGAGCCCAAGCTGCTAAGCAGGCGATTGGAGCAGCTGGATTGAAAGCCATTGTCGTTGAGCTGAAACCCATCGAAGGTGCGCAGCGAACAACCGGAAAGAGCAAAGAGCATCAAAGAGCAGCAAAATCTCTTGATTCATCTTGATTCTTTTTGCCCGAGTTTTTGTCATCCTCTTTGTCAATGGCAGTGGCGCAGGTACTGATGCGTTGGGAACGGACATTGCCGGCATGCAAAGTGCGATCGAGAAAGTGGGAGCGGAGGAGGTGAGATAGCTCACACCAGCTGCATCGCTGTTAGAAAACAGGAGCACGAGAGAGGAGAGAA